TATTCGCACGGATGAGGCCGCGATTTTGAATGTTTAGTTTGTTTGTTGTTTAACTCCGCACTCAGATATTCCAGTTTCAAAAATTAATGATGGCGGTCTGTAAATAATCGAGTCTGGTCCCATCCAGTGATTGACATCATGAGCATCGATCCACGCAATTGGGATACGATGACATGCATCAACCAAGTCAGCGACCCTGACTACACGATCCCGTTAGTCGCCTCTTACGACAAGCCTAGTCGCCTTTTGAATGTAGATCTATGCCGAACTCAGAACTCAGAAGAGGCATTTTGATTGGTTGTTTATTTCGAGCTCTTGAGAGAGAGATTAGTTTATGTGCTGGGTTGATGACAAAAGAAACAGCTGGAGACGCACGGGACCCTTCAGCGAAATTCATGCATAACCATGGTTTATGAATATATATTTGCACTGATTTTCGCCGAAAGGGGGAATTGGTACATGAATATGCACGAATTACGCCGGAATGTGTTTTAGGACATGAATATGGATGGTTTCGCTAAAAGGTTGCGTAGGTGACGTCACTTCCAAAAGGTAGCGAATAGGCGAATGCGTCCAGGGTATTGATGGAATAGAATTGAGATATGATACACTGGATAATCGAAAATGCCCTTGGGCAGGAGGGTAGATATTTCCAATATCCTGCATCTGTAGAAGACTCCTCTCTGTATCAGCAACACGTGTTGTGATGTACGTAGCAGCTAGTGGCCCTGATTGTCCCTCGGCTACGCCAATGTGTAATTTATACCGAAACAAATGACACAATGTCGTTGGTGGATGATGTACGTGTCTCCTCACTCACCCAGATGACTTTCCTTATCTTTTGATCGAATATTATTAATAAACTGACAGGAAAACATAAGGGATTGCATGAAGTGTGGGTGAAATCGATCGTCATTACTTGTTTGTTTAACAGCTATGTAACATGGCGTGTTAATTTTAATAACGATTGTGACCCCTGTGACAACTGTAGAACCGCACAGCCGACTGACATGGCAGGGGAAAGCTCTGGTTGTTGATCCTTAAGCCGGGGAAAGATCTGGATGTGGATCCTGGTGGCAAGGGAAAGAGCTGGGTGTTGATCCTGGTGGCAAGGGAAAACTCTGGATGTGGATCCTGAAGGCAAAGGAAAGCTCTGGGTGTGGATCCTGATGACAAGGGAAAGAGCTGGGTGTGGATCCTGGCGGCAAGGGAAAGCTCTGGATGTGGATCCTGAAGGCAAAGGAAAGCTCTGGGTGTGGATCCTGAAGGCAAGGGAAAGCTCTGGATGTGGACCCTGAAGGCAAAGGAAAGCTCTGGGTGTGGATCCTGAAGGCAAGGGAAAGCTCTGGATGTGGATCCTGAAGGCAGGAGAAAGCTGTGGATGTGGATCCTGATGCCGGGGAAAGCTCTGGATGTGGATCCTGAAGGCAAAGGAAAGCTCTGGGTGTGGATCCTGATGGCAAGGGAAAGAGCTGAGTGTGGATCCTGGTGGCAACGGAAAGCTCTGGATGTGGATCCTGAAGGCAAAGGAAAGCTCTGGGTGTGGATCCTGATGGCATGGGAAAGAGCTGGGTGTGGATCCTGATGGCGAGGGAAAGCTCTGGATGTGGATCCTGAAGGCAAGGGAAAGCTCTGGATGTGGACCCTGAAGGCGAAGGAAAGCCCTGGGTGTGGATCCTGAAGGCAAGGTAAAGCTGTGGATGTGGATCCTGAAGGCAGGAGAAAGCTCTGGATGTGGATCCTGATGCCGGGGAAAGCTCTGGATGTGGATCCTGATGCCGGGGAAAGCTCTGGATGTGGACCCTGAAGGCAAAGGAAAGCCTTGGGTGTGGATCCTGAAGGCAAGGGAAAGCTCTGGATGTGGATCCTGAAGGCAGGAGAAAGCTGTGGTTGTGGATCCTGATGCCGGGGAAAGCTCTGGATGTGGATCCTGAAGGCAAAGGAAAGCTCTGGGTGTGGATCCTGATGGCAAGGGAAAGAGCTGAGTGTGGATCCTGGTGGCAACGGAAAGCTCTGGATGTGGATCCTGAAGGCAAAGGAAAGCTCTGGGTGTGGATCCTGATGGCATGGGAAAGAGCTGGGTGTGGATCCTGATGGCGAGGGAAAGCTCTGGATGTGGATCCTGAAGGCAAGGGAAAGCTCTGGATGTGGACCCTGAAGGCGAAGGAAAGCCCTGGGTGTGGATCCTGAAGGCAAGGTAAAGCTGTGGATGTGGATCCTGAAGGCAGGAGAAAGCTCTGGATGTGGATCCTGATGCCGGGGAAAGCTCTGGATGTGGATCCTGATGCCGGGGAAAGCTCTGGATGTGGACCCTGAAGGCAACGGAAAGCCTTGGGTGTGGATCCTGAAGGCAAGGGAAAGCTCTGGATGTGGTTCCTGAAGGCAAGGGAAAGCTCTGGATGTGGACCCTGAAGGCAAAGGAAAGCCCTGGGTGTGGATCCTGAAGGCAAAGGAAAGCTGTGGATGTGGATCCTGAAGGCAGGAGAAAGCTATGGATGTGGATCCTGATGCCGGGGAAAGCTCTGGATGTTGATCCTGATGGCGAGGGAAAGCTCCGGATGTGGATCCTGATGCCGGGGAAAGCTCTGGATGTCGATCCTGATGGCATGGGAAAGCTCTGGATGTGGATCCCGATGGCGAGGGAAAGCTCTGGATGTGGATTCTGATGGCAAAGGAAAGCTCGGGGTTTGAAACCTGATGCCGGGGAAACTCTGGATGTCGATCCTGAAGGCAAAGGAAAGCTCTAGGTGTGGATCCTGAAGGCAAGGGAAAGCTCTGGATTAGATCCTGATGGCATGGGAAAGCTCTGGATGTGGATCCTGATGGCGAGGGAAAGCTCTGGATGTGGATCCTGATGGCAAAGGAAAGCTCGGGGTTTGAAACCTGATGCCGGGGAAAGCTCTGGATGTCGATCCTGGTGGCAGGGGAAGGCTCTGGATGTGGATCCTGATGGCAAAAGAAAAGCTCGGGGTGTAAAACCTGATGCCGGGGAAAGCTCTGGATGTCGATCCTGAAGGCAAAGGAAAGCTCGGGATGTGAAACCTGATGCCGGGGAAAGCTCTGGATGTCGATCCTGATGACATGGGAAAGCTCTGGATGTGGATCCTGATGGCGAGGGAAAGCTCTGGATGTGGATCCTGATGGCAGAGGAAAGCTCTGGGTGTGAAACCTGATGCCGGGGAAAGCTCTGGATGTAGATCCTGATGGCAAAGGAAAGCTCGGGGTGTGGATCCTGATAAAAGGGTAAGCTCTGGTTGTGGATCCTGATGCTGGGGAAAGCTCTGGATGTGGATCATGATAAAAGGGTAAGCTCTGGATGTGGATCCTGATGCCAGGGAAAGCTCTTGATGTGGATCCTGATGGCAAAGGAAAGCTCGGGGTGTGGCTCCTGATGCCGGGGGAAGCTCTGGATGTTGATCCTGATGCCGGGGAAAGCTCGATCTGGATGTGGATCCTGATGGCAAAGGAAAGCTCAGGGTGTGGAACCTGATGCCGAGGTAAGCTCTGGATGTGGATCCGGATGCCGGGGAAAGCTCTGGATGTTGAATCTGATGGCAAGAGAAAGCTCTGGATGTAGATCCTGATAAAAGGGAAAGCTATGGATGTAGATCCTGATAAAATGGTAAGCTCTGCATGTGGATCCTGATGGCAAGGGAAAGCTCTGGGTGTGGATCCTGATGCCAGGGAAAGCTCTAGTGGAATCTGATGCCGGGGAAGGCTCTGGATGTTGATCCTGATACCGTGGAAAGCTCTGCATGTGGATCCTGATGTTAAGAGAAAGCCTTTTTATTCGTTGGCTTTATCTGCCGAGAAACCTATCAAGTAAATGATAAATGCAGGTATCATTTAATTTGACAAATATATATTTTCCCATTCGTGTATATTTCACATTTGTGTAAACACACACAATCCCATTTTTGGCGGTTAAACAAATAGTTTTCCCTCACAGTAAATTTGAGGTAGGCATATAGATCAGTATGTCACAAGGAACCGGCCATTAATATTTATTGCGAGGCGGAAGAGTATCTGGAACTTTTGTTGCAGAGGGAATAATCAGTCTCATTAAAATCTTAGTTCTCGCTACGGCAAAACAAAGATTTGAAGACATCTCATTACTGGTCACGCCAGAACGACCTGCATGCACACTAACCCAGTGACCTAATCACTATCTTTGATGCGAAGTCCTGCGATATTATATAGAAAATGAACTAGATATTATCAAGGAGATTATATGTACATTTTATAATCCACTGCATATATAACACAGGCTACAGTCCCTGAACTAGTATTGATATTATCCCTTCCGCCCAGCCTCACTACATGACGCTATATATGGCTCTTAATGAATCAAGTCTTGCTTTTCCAATCTCCTATCTCGCTGGGGGTCCATTTTAAATGGACTTGTTTGTTTCTATCAAATTCATATATTTCCAGAGACTATTTAAGCGTAGGTCTAAACACGGGCCTAAATTATAGTTGATCATTCGTGGTACAACATTGATATGTCGGTATATTGACCGTGTACATGGACCCTAAATATGTATTAAGTGTCCATGCCGTGTACAAACACAGTATTATATATATAGGCTATAACATAACGTTTGGTGATTAATAATGGAGGTTATGTTTACCATGATCAGAATCTCAATATTTTAAAATATAAAGTCAACTTATTGCTAAGTCTACGTGCTTCGTCGAGCCTATGAGAAATCAGCTGATCTGATAACAAACTCTGGTGATAGTTTCAATCCGAAATGAGGAGAGAACTATTGACCAATCAAAATAGTTGTCAGTGTTTACGGATCGTCTGCTAGAAGCGTAGTAATTTTAGAAAGTAAAGTTCTAAAAATTACGAAACAGAAATGTCATTATTGAATAGACATGTACTCAAATATCATTTGTATCAGAGAAAACAATGTTATTTCTATATCGTGAAATATTTTATATAAAGTTTGATGTCGAGTTTGAAATGAACACATCCACCAATAGAGGACTACTTTGTCGGAAGCGTATCCGGGTCCGGTGTTGTCAGGCACTCGCCTGTTCCCAACATGCTGGGTAAAGAACCTTTCTGTTGATGTGACATCTCATCCGACTATCTGTCAATACATAGAGGCAGACAGCCTCAAGACAGCTGAGATATTACAACGATGGCGACCGAGGACACAGTATCGATCGTTGGCAGTGTCATAGAACACATGATGGAACTCAACGCGGCGACGACCGCTCTGGTGACAACCACGGTCGTACTGAGTGCTGTTATGGCAATGAGAGCTTTAATCGAAAAGAAACAGGTAATGTAGAGCATTTGAAAAAAATCAAGTCGTCGCTTTCGATCTCAATAGTAGTGGCCGATCAGTGTCATCTCTAATAGTTTTAGTAAGCAAGAAGTGTCCCCATTCTGGCGATGTATCATTCGTGTCGTAGGCTTCAGAGTTCACGTTTCACACACCAAAAGGGAGACAGTGCAAATAAACAGTCCCAGCAAGTATATCTTAATCAGTGAATGTAAACCTTTTCAAAATATAGATTGGTATGAGCACATGTGACATATTTTGCTGTAAACTATACCAAATATTGGCAAATGTCATCATTCAAACCGGGTGCAGGCTAAAACGTCACCGATTTCTCTGGCGAAAACGGCACCGCATTTGGCGAAAACGGCTACTATGTGTTGGGCGAAAACGGCACCTCTATTTTTAAGAACGATAACAACGATTTTTGTAGTAATATTTAGGGTTTAATTACATGGTATTTGATGTATTTACATGTAATTTGATGTATGTGATGTATTTACATTGTATTTCCCGTTTTTTCCACAGATAAGTAAATATGTTCATATATACAGTTTTGTGGCATGTCCATCGTCAACATCATCATCATCATTCTCTTCACAATATTGGTCCATGTACAACCGAACATTGTGAGAGTACTTGGGTCAGGGAGAGATCTCCATCTCCATCCTATAGTTGGAGGAGAGGCTAATTTCTAATGTAAACTTGTTTTAACATCTCACAATTATTGGCGTTTGCAAGTTACAATGTAAGTTTAATATCATTTATTTGACCAAGGTAAGAAAAAAAAAGTGCCGTTTTCGCTGGAGTCGAGGTGCCGTTTTCGCCCGGTGACGTTTTGCTGAGGTGCCGTTTTCGCTATAACCCATTAATACCAATACTGTATCAGTACAAATTTATCAATATGGATGATAAATTAATAACTTGCTTCTTCAGAAACATTAACATTTGTTAAGATTACCATGAAAAGTACAATACATGATGTGACATGATTGAATGGTTCCTTGTCATAGTCTGATAACATTCCTGCATGTTATGGTTTCAGGAGAACCTACCACCACATATACCTTCAGTAATACCATTCCTGGGTCAAGCCATCAGCTTCGGACAAAGTCCTATAGAGTTTCTTGTAGCAGCCTACAAACAAGTAAGTTCTTTGGTCATAGATTCCTCTACCCATTTCCCTGCGCTTTGGCAGATTCAATTCCTCACAAGGTACAAAGTTTGAAGCCTATTTCTAGCGGCCCCTAAAAATACTTAAAAAAACTCACTTCAATCCTTTAATATGTTTTAACTTGATATTTGAGTGAAAAACAAACCTCACAAGCCATTGACACGATTAATGACAGCAGGCAAGTTTTGTCTCTTGTTTGCCCAATTATGTTGGACAATATGCCAAGGGGAATCTCTTATGGATGAGTGAATGTTGCATAAGTCTGCAGTCCGCAATATTCCAGCTTTAGCACAGCAGCCTGTAATGATCAGGTCTTGATCAGACAAATGTGTGACTGAAAGCTTGAGCAATGATACACGTCATCGGGGCGAGATGAAACTCGGTCAGCCAAGTCACATGATCGAGTCTGCCCACCTGACCCCCATTTATTAAACGCATACAGTGCTGGGGACCAATTCTGACTCAGAATCCCCAAAAGGGTTTGTTACAGTGGGTATTCTTGGTTAGAATTGGTCCTCAGCAATATATGCTGACCATCAGAGGCAACCAAATGGATTGGGTGGTTAGGCTCGGTGACTTGGTTGACGGCATGGGTTGTTGCTCACAATATTGTCTGGTCCAGAATCGTCGTATAGCTGGAATATTGCTGAGTGGAGACAAACACAAAAAGCTGCAGGATCTATCATCGATTAATTGTGGTTTTTATGGAGTTATGTTGTCAAATGTTATAATAGCAGGAGTAATGGTTGTTGATGTGATGTTTCAGTATGGGCCTGTGTTTAGCTTCACCATGGTGGGAAAGACCTTCACATACCTCATCGGCTCCGAGTCGTCAGCACTGTTCTTCAACAGCCGCAATGAAAACCTCAATGCCGAGGAAGTTTACAGTCGACTGACAACGCCAGTGTTTGGGAAAGGTGTTGCCTATGATTGTTCTAATGCTGTAAGTTCTTCAGATATTTTTTATTTTATCAGAAATTTCTGTTTACTTCAATCTACGTAATTAAAGCCTGTAAATATGGTAAATAATCAAGTCTGGACCAGCTAACCAGTGATTGAGATTCAATTTTGAGCAATACCTGACACTGTCAGACATGCAATCAATTAAGTTCGACTCTGACCACCCAATCCAATGCTATCTATCAGCTCATCAGTTCTTTGTATGCCTGTATGAAAGTTTATTGGTACTTTCTGTTGTCAGAGGTTTCTGGAACAGAAGAAAATGTTTAAGACTGGACTGAATATTGCAAGGTTCAGGGAACACATTCCCATGATTGAAGAAGAGACGATCAAGTATTTTGAGAGATGGGGAGACAAGGGCGAGCGTGGTAAGTTTTGACTTTGGAACATGGCGAGGAGGGGATTGCTTGGATTATAGAAAATATTGGAGAAAATGCTTTGCCTCAGGCTTACAAAAAGGGGAAAATATTGCTTTTCTTACAAAAATGTATGGCAGAAAGAAAACGTTAAGTTCCTAATGCCATTGTAAAGATTTGTTTTGAAGCAGTGGGGGTCACGGGTGGCCCAGTCGTCAGCGATGCAGCAATTTGTTATGCAGAGTTGTGTCCTTTGGGCACACCGGAAACCTTACTAATGATTGTGGGATCAAACCCTGGTTCGCCCTGCTTATGTTTCTAGGTTTGTCAGCACCATACGCATGCTTGTGATTTCACTAAAGTGGTAGCCATCTGAGACCGGCATCACTTCGAGCTTTCCTTCCATGTTACTGGAATACTGTTAAAAGCGGAGTTAAAACATACTCACTCACTCAAATATTCAGTAAAACAATCCCATCAGACTGATCAAACAAACATAAATTCATCTGGATAACAGGAAGTCAGTTGTAAACATTTTTCAAGTTTGATAAAATGACATTCTCTCATTCACAAAAATATACAAAGATTCTTGTAATGGCCGTTTGCACACTAGTGGAAGTCATGGGCCGATATTTGCCCCCATGGCTGCAGTAAATGTCAGTAAAAATTTCAGTTGGAATTAAGCATTTTCCAATTCATGCTGTTTCAGTTAAAACCTGACCCGTGAAGTTCCGGGGTAGAATAGGTCTTCAGCAACCCATGCATGCTGTGAAAGGCAACTATGCATGTCGTAAAAGGCGACTAACGGGATCAGATGGTCAGGTTTGCTGACTTAGTTGATGCATGTCATTGTATCCCGATTGTGTGGATAGATGCTCATGATGTCAATCACTGGATTGGCCGGTCCAGACTTGATTGTTTACAGTCCGCTCTCATATAGCTGTAATATTGCTGAATGCGGCGTTAAACAAGAAACAAAACCAAAATAGAGGAAGTGGCTGTTATGCTTTGTTTAACATTATTGCTGAATGCAATGTTAAAAATCAGTGTTAAAATACCTCTGAAATTAGGTAAATAAGATAATGAACAGTGATGACCCATGCTGACTATTAATGTTGCAGATTTTTTCATGGCTCTGTCCGAGTTGATCATATTGACTGCAAGCAGGTGCCTCCATGGTAAGTGTTTGAATATCACTGATCAGGTTGCATCGAAGTCTCCCATACCCAGGCCTCCATGCTTGTAAGGTCTACAAAAGAGGATCAGGTGGTTATTAGAACTGAGTTTTGCCTGGTATCTTGCGATACGATGTGTATCTTGATACGGACTGATGATACCACTGGTATTGTGATACACCGTGACAATTAGTAAGAAATGATGAAATCGCTGAAATACAACTCTTAAACCTCTTGCTTCATACATTTATTTATTATCTCAAAAACCTGAACTCAAAAAGTTAAAAAACACATAAACAAAACAGTTTAAAATGAAGGGATGGTTATTAAATGTAATAGTTACTGGGCCCGTCCTCTACCGCCACGTCCTATGTTCCACCATGCTTACAAGTTGCACTGTAGTACTTCTGCCATTACAGGAGGTCGCTCTTATCAGTTCCTGTTCTATTTATAGCACATCACGATCTCACAAACTAGTGATTGAAGTATCATCTGTACCTTAGTATTGATGATGTCGTAGGTATCAGTGAATCGTTACAGAACCTAGTGATTATTATCCCCCGCCACGAAGTGGAAGGGGGATATAGGAATGGGTGCCGTCCGGCCGGCTGTCACACTTCGTTTCCGGAGCAGATCTTGAAAACCGTACCATATTTCTTCACCAAACTTGGCACATAGATAGATCTAGTGGTGAACTGGTGCCTTTTGATAGTTTGGGATTTTTAAAAAAGTTATTTTTCGAGTTTCCATGGCAACGACTTTGATTTAGACTGAAAATGGCAGTAGTCCTCGTTTCCGGAGCAGATCTTGAAAACCGTACCATATTTCTTCACCATACTTGGCACATAGATAGGTCTAGTGGTGAACTGGTGCCTTTTGATAGTTTGGGATTTTTAAAAAAGTTATTTTACGAGTGTCCATGGCAAGGACTTTGATTTAGACTGAAAATGGCAGTAGTCCTCGTTTCCGGAGCAGATCTTGAAAACCGTACCATATTTCTTTACCAAACTTGGCACATAGATAGATCTAGTGGTGAACTGGTGCCTTTTGATAGTTTGGGATTTTTAAAAAATCAATGCCCATGTTGTCAATCACTGGATTGTCTGGACCAGACTTGATTATTTAGAGACTGCTGTCAAATAGCTAGAATATTGCTGAGTGCGGCGATAAACAACAAACAAACAAAACAAAAACGATATGACACAGTCCCGATTCTTAATGTTCATCATTTTTGCATGGAATCGATCCATGCAATTGGGATCAATGTCATGCATCAACCAAGTCAGCGAGTTTGACCACCCGATCCCGTTAGTCGCCTCTTACGACAAGCATAATCGCCTTTTACGGCAAGTATGGGTTGCTGAAGACTTATTTACCCCGGATCTTCATGGGGCACTTTGGCTTGTGATGATGGTGATGAAGGTGGATGTGATGATGATGATGATGATGATGACTGTTCCAGGTGAGGAGATCCGGTCTATCCTGGATGAGAAGGTGGCCCAGCTGTACTGGGACCTGGACGGAGGGTTCTCGCATCTCGCCTGGCTTCTCCCTGGATGGTTGCCATTCCCCAGTTTCAGGTACAGACTTGTGCCCTTTTGCCCATGCTGATAACGAATAAGACAACAACTGTGATGAATCCCATCTTATGTAGACTGGTTCTTAAGTATTAAATAATGTGTTGTGCATTTTACATGAGGAGTATATTGAAACTTTATACCCTTGTACAGGGGGCTACACTCTCATGTGAGTTTGGTTTCACGTAGGACAAAGTCACCCTGTAACATGCTTGTTACATTGTTCCTAATGTTCCAGTTGTTGAAGAAAGATGTCGTTGATTGTAAGTTCTGCTTTTAGGAAACGGGACCGAGCACACATGGAGGTGAAGAAGATGTTCTACAAGGTGATCCAGGCCCGGCGCCAGTCCGAAGAGACGCACGACGACATGCTGCAGACTCTCATTGACTCCCCATACAAGTAAGGCAACATCAGGCAGAGCTCCAGATAAGCTGCGTATCTGCGTGAAATACGCATCAGAAATGCAGAAATACGCAGTAAAATATAATCCAAGCATATCAAATACGCAACGAACATTACAGATACGCTACAAAAATAAAACTTGTGCGTATCATCAAAATATTGTGAAGTAACCCTGCGTATTCGATTAGCAAATCAGCAACTTTATTTTGAATTTATAAACGGGCATTCCGTCAACCTTGCCAAACTCCACGATGACAGTTACATCATGATCATTTGCCATCACACTTTCTTGTGGAAGTATCGTGGTATTTTTGAGTCGGACTGTCCTATAAAGCTCTCGAACCCACACGACACCAGTTTGAAGGGACTAGATGAATAGTTTTTTTAAATATTTAACTTAAATACCCACGTCTGTAAAAACTAGTGGGTAACAGAAATTTGAATACGCAGATAGAATTACTGATACCCAATGATTTTAAATGCATGGGTAAAATACCCACAACACCAAAAGCTTATCTGGAGCTCTGGTGTAATTGAGTGCTACACTCTATGACAGAGTCTTTGTACTTGGTAACCGGGTTAAATATTTTTATGATTATGAGCAGAAACACTGCTCACCCAAGCATGTACAATAACAGCAGTTGTGATAAATAGGTAACACTGCTCCTGAACTGACATGCACGGTTTGATGTTCTTGCGTTGGTATGTCGCTGACAGTTCTCAAGGTTCGTAGGTTTCTTAGTGCATCCCGCATCTGCAATGCAATAAACCTCTTCTGCCTTTAGATTGCCAATCGTAAACAAGTAAGGCAACATCAGGACTCTAATCAGGCTCACAGAGGTCAGACACTTCAAAGGTATAACATGTCTGGACTTGAATGGGATTTCCAAGGCAGTATAGGCCCCGAATATTTGCTGCTCACCTATTTGGGGATTCTGGTCACCAGTATCTGTTGTTTGCCTCCTGCTCTGTTGTATTATGACTGTGATCATAATGTACTTATCATCTTCACAATGTGATCGATGGGTCGTGTTATCTGAAACGTAAGGCCTGTCTCATCTCAGTGCAAAAGGTGGCGGTGGGGTAGCCTAGTGGCTAAAACCTTTGTTGTCCTAAGACCCGTGTTTGATTCTACACATAGAAACAATGTGTCAAGTTCATTTCTGGTGTCCCCTGCCGTGATATTTCTGGAATATTGCTAACCGCGGCGTGAAACCATGCTCACTCATTCACTCCAGTTCATGAGACTTGCCTAGCTGTAAACTACGTGTTTGATTGCTTCATGACATCATCAGGCCCAACTCCCAGCATCCCACACTCTCTCAGTCACATTGGGACACAGTCACACGTTTGCCTCCTTTTTGGGACATGTGTCGGCTGACCATGGTTGCAACGCATTTCTGGTGTCCCCCTCTGTGATATTGCTGGAATATTGCTAAAAGCGGCATAAAACCATACTCACTCACTGCTACGATTTCTTTGAATAGTATTAGGGTGTAAGGGAGGTAACTCTGTTTATGCAACCCCTGATATTGAGTTCATGTTCTGAAAGTATTTGTATGTCCCTTCAGAAGACTGAATCATAAAGTACTTTCTATTAGTGTTGCAAATGATCATTCTTGGTCTCTTACTTATGTTAAAACTGAATAGAATAGAATATTAGAAAAAAAGTGTCAGTCACTGAGTTGTTTTGGGTTGGTATGAATGCGGTACCAATCGGTCTATGAACAGTGCCTATGTACAATGTATGACTAGTTTGACCATTGTCTGTGTGTAGAGACGGCAGCTATCCGACGGATGACGAGGTTGCTGGGATGTGCATCGGGCTTCTTCTGGCCGGGCAGCACACGTCCTCCACCACCACCGCCTGGCTCAGCTTCTTTCTAGCTAAAGACAAACAACTGCAGGTGAGGAGGAGAGTGTCTGTATTGGATGTCATATCTAAGGCAGCAGTCTCACGAGACCCGTGAAGATTCCGGGGTAGAATAGGTCTTCAGCAACCCATGCTTGTCGTAAAAGGCGACTAACGGGATCGGGTGGTCAGGCTCGCTGACTTGCTTGATGCATGTCATCGATCCCAATTGCGTGGATCGATGCTCATGATATCAATCACTGGATTGTCTGGTCCAGACTCGATTATTTACAGACCGCTGTCATATAGCTGGAATATTGCTGAGTGCGGCGTTAAACAACAAACCAACCAACCGACCAACAGTAGTTTCATGATCATTTCAGCCTACTCAGGGATGTATCATGTTAGGCCCTAAGTCTGCAGTAAATGTCGGTAAAAAGTTCTAATTTGAATTTTGGCATTTTAAATAATTACTTCATTGAACGATATTATATCTTAAACATCGATTATGTTAAGAATAGAATTATATGATAAAGAGATTATTACCCATTTGTGATCCCGAATTGTGAATATCAAATATTTGTAATAAAAAATATGTATTATATGAGCCCTTGGCAGGCATGGATGGTTCACCTGATAAGGTTTGGTCTTTCAGAATCGAGTTTATGAGGAGCAGAAGAAGGTATGTGGTGATGATTTACCTCCCCTGACTTACGAAGACACGAAGGACCTGCAGCTGATGGACCGATGTCTGAAGGAAACGCTCCGACTCCGACCACCCATTATGACCATGATGAGGATGTGCAAATCACCGCAGGTTGGAACGAGTAGATACAAATACGTTGATTATCCCCCTCCCACATCACCATTTGCAGGGAATAGAGAAACAGGCTGTGTTTGTGGGGCTGTCATGCTTGTTTCCAGAGAATAAACTTTGTCTTGTTTATATATATTGAGGGGCTTGTGGTTAAAGAGTTTACTCGTCATGCCGAAGACCTTGGTTCAATTCCTGACATGGGCACAATGTGTGAAGCCCATTTCTGGTGTCCCTGCCATGATATTGCTGGAATATTGCTAAAGGCGGCGAAAAACCAAACTCACTCACTCTTGTTATATTTTGGGTTAAGATCCATAATCCAAAAATAGATATGATAATCAGTTAGAATTTATCCAGTTATCTGTTAGCCAATTTGGACTAGATTGAAATATAAATGTGGTTCTATTTTATTATTTTGTACTGGGTTACACAAAGCTTTCGAGACCGTACACAAAAATACATATATCAGGCCTCAAAGTGTATTTTTTTCCTAAGGAGCTATTGACTTCCACCCATGTGAAATTCAAGAAGTCAGGTGAAAAATTAAGGAGCCAAACTTCAAGATCATAGTCAGTAATGCATACTACTGTTAAAGTATATGTAATCTCCCTAACTGCAGCAACACCGATTCCTACAAGCTTTTTTGTTATTTACGTTGTTGTAAATACTTGACAAGATTATTGATTAAATTTTATCTTACATATTCCAATGTTAATTTTTATATTTCTTAAAATGTAATTTTAGTTCAGTTGATCAGTGTTTATTAATGCATTGTATTTCTGTACTATGCAGTTAAACAAATCAAGCTGGTGACCTAATATTACTAAGTAGCCAAGTGGCGACTGATATAAAAATATTGGTCGCCAAGCGGCAATTTCAATCACTATGGTGACCGAATTAGTTGCAACTTTGAGGCCTGTGTATATTTCATATATATATATATGAGACAGGACATGTATACAGAAATCTGAAAGATTCGTCATGTTGGATAATGTTTCATTTATGTTAATGTTTCATGCAAGGTTTGCTTGAACTTGTTTTCATTATTTTCACATATGTGAGTAAGTGTTTGTGGGATGCAAGACATTACGTCCTGTGTGCATATTAAAAACAATGGACACAAATAACAACCACTGCGAGCCCCATTGAACACCAAATATGCAAGCCAGCATTAAAAGTGTATTGGGTTATTATGGCAATATCACCTTCTGTGTGGGTGCTTTGGATGATCGAAACAAATTAGACTGACACATACTTAAGATTTATCTGGTATTTCAATTTTGATGAAAATGCAATCAGTGTTCAGACAATCCATGTCAGATTTCCTTCACTCAGGATACGGAATCACTATGTTTCAATTTAAACAAGAAATTCTCATCTATCGTATTCTTAAAGGGCAAGTTCACACGGAAATGAACCAATTTTTCTTGTACTTTTTCCACATTAAAAGTGTTAACAAAGAAGTGTCATAGACAAAAATATAAAAACATCATATTTAATTAACATATTTTTTGCATTAAAACGATTTATATTTTTCACATTTACCAAGTGTTCTATTTCCATAACAAAAACACCATGGCTTATGCCCCTTGCAATATGACGTCATTGGTGCCAATTGATAAACATTATGACGTCATCATGCTTTGTTAGAGCCGCTTCACGTGGTGTAGGTACAGTTTTGTGATTCTAGCGTCTCAGATGCCAGCCAGAATTGTGTGATGCTGAGTCACCACTGCGCCGGAGTTTGTCGTAGACCATGTTGTTTTACCGCAAACTGGTCCTTGATATCTTTTGCGTTGAGAATAGACAGGGACCCAGTTGAATTGGCACCAATTACGTCATAATCTAAGGGGGATAACTCAGGCCTATTTCGCTCGTAAAACGAAGGCCTCATAACGGCATATCATTTTAACACTATTGTGAGCTTCCTACTTTCACTGTGAAAAAAATGAGTGTATATTTTCAAACACAGATACTAACTAATTCTAAAATTGCGTTTTGTTTAGAAAAAGAAAGAAAGTGATTTTTGCGTGTACACTTCCCCTTTAAGCATGTTAAGGTTTACAGATTCTTTCTTTAACACCTGGGACCTTTTTTTAGGTCCCGAGGACTGCAAATATATAAGCCAAGGTTCATCTTTGTTCATCTTTGTTCATCTTTGTGGACCGCCTCCGTGGTCTAGTGGTAGAGCGTCTGCCCGGAGAGCGAAAGGTCGGGGATTGGATCCCATACCAAAAGACTTTAAAACATTTTACTAATTGTTACCCTGCCTGGTGCTCAGCTGTATGGGGCTAAAACAAGGACTTGACGGAAAACCTCATTTCACCTCACCTCTTCTTTGTGTCTCTGAATCGGAATCTATATATCAGTGATATGTGTTGTATATTAGTGCAATAATTGGGAATACTGTAAGGTGAAGGCTTGCTTGGACCTGTTTCTGATATTCTTCATTGTTTCAGAACATCCTTGGTTATACAATACCACCGGGCCACCAGATCTGTGTCTCCCCGACGACCAACCACAAGCTCCCCGATACCTGGACAGACTTTGCCGCCTATGACCCAGATAGGTACGTCAGGAGGGTTTGTTCATATCTTGACGTTTGCTGAATATCGTACCCAAACAATTTCCTATTAACATTATCATATATATGTTACTGCTCACCTGGACATACAAACAAAGGTTTAGGAGATAAACCCTGTTTATGCAGCCATTAGTCGAGTCGTTCGCTTGTCACGTTGTGTGCACAAAGTATATGGTATATAGTTGTGGTGCCGTTAACCATTAATAATTAATGTTACAAGGGCATAAAACCACACTCAATCATTTGACCTGATACAAAGGACAAGGATTTATCTGCACCTGATTTGAGGCTGATATTCGGCCATGAGTCTGCAGCACATGTCAGAAAAAAATCCCAAATTGGATTACACATTCCCAATTGATGCTGTTATGTTTGTACCTAATGTTATGGTTTTGTGAGGTGACTTTTCATTGATTACAGACCAAAGTATAGAGGAAAGGCTTCAATTCTTGGTGTCGCATTATTTCATTAGATGCAATGGTAAAATACATCTGAATTTTGGAAAATATGAACTTTTAAAAAATCTCAATTTTAAACAAAATAATTATATTTTTAACTTCTCCTGGATTACATTATAGCACATTGCTCTCACTAAGGAAGTCATAACTGGTAATGAATGATGACCTGGCAGTATCTTCAGTAACTCTTCTTACCCAACAAGACCTCCGTGACCTCCATGTCAAAAGACACGCCCCTTTTTTGTCATTATTGACTAAGCAGGACGTGAGAGACGATATCTTTCCTGGAATTTAGGATTTTTTCAATTTTGCCTGCCAAGGAAACATAGTTTGGAATCCTAGATAAATCACTCATACTACTCTAGGTATTAATGGACTAATGCCATGTTGACAGATTCCTGGACCCAGATGTGGCTAACAGTGAGAAGTTTGCCTATATTCCCTTTGGTGCCGGCCGGCACCGATGTATCGGAGAATCCTTCGCCTATGTCCAGATCAAGACAATCCTATCCACCGTTTTACGCAAATATGAACTTGACCTCGTGGATGGCTACTTCCCCGAGGTGGACTTCTCCACAATGATCCACACACCCAAGAACCCCGTCATCAGATACAAGCTGAGGACAACATAAGTGTGTGCCTGATCATCGTGATATTGTCATGTGTGTCTGTGATCATATCGGAACTTCTAGACGGCAGTGTGTTGACATGTGGGTCCAGTGTGATCTGGTGGAACATCCTGGTGATGAAGCAGTGTTAGAAATTGGCACAAGTCCTGTAATCCTTGCCACAATGCCCAATAGTTAAAGTATCATAAGGAAAAGTAGACGTTTGCCATTATTAAGGATTTTGCTATATGTTATCATTGATATGACTAGTGAACTAAAAAGTTTTATGGTTGTGAAGTCAGTGTTTGGTCTGGAAGTGCACAGAATATGTAATTATATTTATGTATCAGGTACTGTTAGATCCTTGAGTGGTGTTTGCAGGGTCAGAAATTGGCACTAGTCCTGTAGTCCTTGCCAAACTGCCTAATAGTTAAGATATCATAAGGACTATATGCCATTTTCAAGTGTTTTGCTATTTGTTATCATTATAAAGATTAGTGGATTAAAAATGTTAGTTTCTTTCGTTGGTTTGGAAGTTGCATCTGTGACTTATGACAAGATATTGTCTTGTGGTGTTAAACAAACATGAAGATGACAAGTATTGGGGGGGTTACTGCCATCTAGTCACTCACCTAAACCTCAATAACTTTTAGAACTGTTTGTGACTTCGGTGAAATTTTGTCCATCGGATATTATTCATGTTGAATTGAATTATTGAACACAGTACTGTTACTTTGTGTACAGGGTAGATACTATATAGAAATGGAAGATTTGCATGTGGAAATGGTCGTCTATCCCAGGAAACAAGAATGAGACCCATGAAGATCCGGGGTAGAATAGGTCTTCAGCAACCAATTCTTGCCGTAAAAGGCAAAGCAGGGGCTAATGGGATCGCTGACTTGGTTGATGCATGTCATTGTATTCCAATTGTGTGGGTAGATGCTCATGATGTCAATCACTGGATTGTCTGGTCCAGACTTGATTATTTACAAGCTGACGCCATATAGCTGTAATATTGTTGAGTGCGGCGTTAAACAACAAACAAACAAATGAAAGAAAGAAAGTCTTAAATGATTTTCTGCAGTTTGTGCCCTGTGTCCAGGTCAGTTAAAAGATAAATGTTTTTGTGTTACAGTTGCCCTTGATTATGAGGAGCTGAGCAGGGTGGATACATTATCCCTATGTTGGGCTGAACGGGATTGTGTGCATGTGTGAGGTTGTGAAAACTATACATTTGTCTCAGGTATACATTCATGAAACCAAGAATTTGATGTGACGAATGTGCCCCTCTCTAGACGTAACTTGGCAAGTCTTCCAAGGAAGTTGGTAGTTGTGCTGTCAATGCCTGTCTTGGCTTGAGTTCAATCTGGGCCTTATCTCTGTCAATATATTGCTCAGATTGAATTCTTTGGATGACTTGTCTTGCATGTATAAGATATGTTAATGAATGATTAATGTAAATTGAAATAAATTATTGTGTAAATAAATATCAAACTTACAAATGTGAAACTCATTGTTGTTCATGCAATATTTCCATATTTCAAATCATTGCCTAACCACATGTATGTTAGCTGGACCAGTGATCCCCAGTCTCGTTAAGATGAGATAGTTAACTCCGATGTTATACCTGTATGCATGAAGATCTGAGGACATCTCTGGTCCGACCTTAATAGTAGGTTTTGTGTCAGTGAACCTTTTAATCAGCCAATCAGAGTCCTGGCTTCTTAGTTACCGGTCCGAGTAAGCTTTCAGCATGTTCAGACCAGCTTGTATGATTTCTGGACCCATGAAGATCCGGGGTAAAATAAGTCTTCAGCAACACATTCTTGTCATAAAAGGCGACTTTGCTTGTCGTAATTAGGTGACTAACAGGATCGGATGGTCAGGCTTGCTGACTTGGTTGATCCATGTCATCGTATTCCAATTGTGTGGATCGATGCACATGATGTCCATCACTGGATTGTCCGGTTGTCATACAGCTGTAATATTGCTGAGTGCGTTAAACAACAAACAAACAAACAAATATATTATATTTCTGTACCTTGAAAACAAAAAACTTGACCTGTTCTGAATGTAAATCATAGTCCCCAGGTAAGGGAGTTAACTGACTATATTCGTCCACTTTACAACCTTTCCGAACAAGGCAGGAATTTCTGTGCGCGATCGTAGCGCCACCAGTGGCAATTACGAGTTACATGTATGTCCCGTCTACATCCCTCATATTGACCAATCAGATTCCGCCTCTAAAATCACTCACATTTATTCAAACAAAATGGCGGCGTCCAGTCAAGACGATCTGATAGATAATTAAAATCTCTATTGTAAAAAAACGGATCTTTCTTGCGAATTGCATCAATTCATGTGAGCACCTTGATTAAAAACATGAAAATATTTGGAAAATATCTGCTGACGCCAACTTACGAACCGGATGTCGATTTCGTACGTGATTTTGATTGGAGTATGCACAGACTCAATAGTCCAGACAAAATATAACACCATAGTTCCAGCCTTGTTCGGCAAGGGTGGAAACTGGACTAAGATGAATGTAGATAAATATGCCCGTGATATTATATAATTGAAGATGTTTTATAGGCCCTATCGTTCCTAGGTGCAATGACATCTACCCCCAAACAAGAGCTATTTGTTCTGTGGGTTTTCTGTTGTACAAAATGGAAGTTCTGAATCAAGGCGGTAAAGATATGAAGCCGAATCTTCACCTGATGCGAACTTCTATTGAGGAATCCTCAGATTTCTTTCGTAGAGGGGTATATATGGTATTAGAGTAAAACATCTGAAGTTAGGGACTGGTTATTTATTATGGGTAGGAGTAGGTCGGGTAAATTTTAGTATAAAATATAAAGTGGTTTTGCATTTTATCTCTTCAGGGGGTTCATGAAAGATGTTCAGGGACATGGGGAGGGTTGACCAAAAATATAACAAGCATTAGGGGTGAGACATTTTCAGGTCATTAGTGCATCCAAAACCTCTGATACCCACCATCCACATGTAATTAATGACCAGTCCCTTACTGAGATTGAGTGATCCCAAGTGTCCTGGCCCTTGGGTAGTTTTATATTGAAAACAATTTGATATCGATAGGGATTGGTGAATTAAACCAGAATAAAAATTAAATGAAGTATATCTTTGAAAGGCATTTAGAAGTGATTCACATAAGGAAGAGAATATATGGATGTCAACTTCTTTATTATGAGGAACACGTTCGGAGTATATGCTTACTCCTTTATCAGGTGATTCATTAATACCTTAAATGAATTATATTCAGACATTGTGTACTTAATTAACTTAATTGACAATAAACTTGATTCTAGGTCAGTAAATAATCGTTGCTACCTTGAGCAGTTAGTACAGCGATGTGGATCACGGCAGACCTTTCGTGTACCTCATCTGGTCTAGAATACGATAACGCTTTTGACACTTCAGACCTCATATATTTAGAATACAGTGGGGGATTTTACGACGCTTCGGAGATATGTCCCACTTCGCCCGACACGTCATGACACCCGGGGGTCTGCCTGTCCATGCGTGAATACTCAAGATGACCAACCCGATAAAGCCTATGTCACTTCATTAGCCTGCCAGTGAAAGCATTAATGTCGTAATATCGAAAACAATATCAAAATTTTGATATGAATACACAATGCCATTTAGAAAGTGGTCAAATGTAACAAATGCTATATTAGGGATAACTCTTTCTTAGTAAAGTACAGATTCTCGTACTTTTTTGGGTTGAGTCCCGTGCGGGATTCGAACCCACACTTGCCAGAGTGAAGCACCTAATCGCCAGCACACAAAGTCAGCGATCTAACCAACTCAGCAACGGAGGCTTCCACAAAAATGAAAGTCCGACAACTGGGCCCACTTGCACAAAACGATCTTAGTGCTAAGACTATTGTAAGCCTATGCTAAAGTATGGGAGTTACGATCATCTTAGCGCTAAGATCGCTTTGTACAAGTGGGCCCTGGTAGTCTATATCACGTACTTTGAGTACCCCTCTGACAAGTGTAAATTGGCACGGCTCCCATAGCCGAAAGCTATGAATACACAATGCCATTTAGAAAGTGGTCAAATGTAACAAATGTAATATTTGGGATAACACTTTCTTAGTAAAGTACAGATTCTCGTGTCCCGTTCGGACTTAGAAAGTGTACTAGGAAAGTATCACTCAAGTATAACTCAACCCAAAAAAGTACGAGAATCTGTACTTTACTAAGAAAGTGTTATCCCAAATATAACATTTGTAACATTTTGATAGTAATATAAATGGTATTTCAACGTCATTTGTAAGTAGTGAGAACTGTTTCATAGAATCAGTTATGAATATCCAGTATCAACGACGACAGTACCAAGGACTGCATATCAACTTGAAGTCGCTGTCGGCAAGTAATCATGCGTAGTTGCCTCCCCTTGGGCACGCTAGAAACCTATGATAGTGGAACTCTCCTTTCATACAATAAAACAATTAGTGAGAAATGTCCTACCCAAATTGCTATCGATCTGCCCTATGAAATGAAAAGCGATACTACATTTGAACCCGACTCCGAGTCCGCGCTGCCAGGTCTACAGATAGATTTAGATAATCGATCAACTCCTCGCCTCCAGTGTTTGAACTCGCCCTCATAGGGTGATTACGTGAGATGGGATTAACTATCAGAAATACAGTTACTAGTGGACCGCCTCCGTGGTCTAGTGGTAGAGCATCCGCCCGGTGAGCGGAAGGTCCGGGGTTCGATCCCCGGCCGCGTCATACCAAAAGAAGTTAAAAGATGGTACTTGTTGTTACCCTGTCTGGCGCTCGGCATTAAGGGGCTAAAACAAGGACTGGTCGGCTCGGGGTCAGTATACTGTGTCTGAGGTGGGTATTCATGTTAAACTGCGGCATGGTATCTCAGTGGGCTAGCACTATAAATCGGCATCAGTCCGGACTAGTACAAGCAGCCACACACACACACACACGTGCATGCACGTCGCTATATAAGTGCAATAATCTTGGACGCGACGTTAAACCCCATTTCACCACACCAGTTACTAGTGTATTGCGGGTTCTTCAGCAAAGGGACACAACTCGATCTGCGGCTCCTGACATCACTGTGCCAACCACTACCACCAACCCACCTACCCTCGTGTCGAGTAAAGGGACTGAAGATCTCAAATCTTTGAAAAAAGTATTCACCAACTTAAAATTACATTTCGGACCCATGCAGTGGCAGGGGTTTCCATGCATTCTTTGCAATAGTGAGTGAGTGAGCTATACCGGTTTTGTATGCGAATTTATAAGTTAAGTTGCGATTCTGAATGCAAGTTCGTTGCAAGAACATAGTTTCCCCTCGTCTGTGAGACTCGTAGTTTTACAACTTGTAATAACGTGGTCTAGTGGTAGAACGTCCGCCCGGAGAGCGGAAGGTCCGGGGTTCGATGCCCGGCCGCGTCATACCAAAAGACGTTCAAAAATGGTACTTGTTGTTACCCTGTCTGGCCATCGACACTAAGGGGCTAAAACAAGGACTGGTCGGCTCGCAGTCCGTATACTGTGTCTGAGTGGGGTATTCATGTTAAACTGCGGCATGGTGTCTAAGTGGGCTAGCACTATAAATCGGCATCAGTCCGGACTAGTACAAGCAGCCACACACACGTGCATGCACGTCGCTGCATAAGTGCAATAATCTTGGACGTGACGTTAAACCCCATTTCACCTCACCTGTAATCACGTAGGGAGATAAACATAAATCTGATATCTCAATGGAATTAATACTGAATATTAGATTTCGTTCAGGGGATGAGGGTTTCACAACATTACCTTTGGTAGACATGGTATGGATGTTTAAAACGTACGAGTCATTTGTGATATAGGGCAAATGCCCCCACTATTGATTGAGATGGGCGTTAAATACACACCCAATGAGTCTCTGAGGCCTTTATTTGTATTGTACATATAGCGTATACACATATCTAGGCCTGCCTGGGGGTTATTCAGTCCTGGAACCCCCTCGGTCACACAAAGAACGTTAATTGCTGCTTTGTATCCAATAGTTCGTAAGCTTGGCATGTTTAGTGGAGCGCTACGTGTTCAGTGTAACAATCGTCAATAATCGATCGGCTCAATCAATCTGTCTGGAGTGATAATGAAGTATTTAACAAGAGCGCTCGCGCGTGTAGCGTGTATATATTGTTTGGTCTTGCGGAGTGATTGACTTCATTTATATACCACATATTCACGTATCTCCAAATATACATACCACCCACGGGTAAGGTGAAACATTATGGTCTCTGCCGTTAGATCGTCTTGGTATTTAAAAAAAGTTTCTTTTACTTCAGTTTGGAAAGAGGTACTCGGGATACAAATCCGGAATAGACTAATTGTTTATTTTCCCCAGCCCCAACCACGTTTGCGGGGGATATAGAAACCATAAAAGTTTATTTCCCAAAGTACACACACTCACCATATGGTGTAGATATGCCTTTTGCTATTTAAGTGTGCCCTGTATTTTTAATATATTTTCTATAAAAAAAATGGACTTATTCTCTGAGCTGAATGAAATCAATGGGTTTCAGTCCCGGAGCAGAACTCGAAAACTATTTGAGATATCTTGATGAAACTAAAAATTGGTACACACATTCACCATATAGTGTTGATGTGCCTTTTGCTATTTCTGATTCCTCCGAATTTTTCTTTTCTATAACATGCATATTATAAATTTCGGCTTAGTCCGTGAACTGAATGAAAGCAGTGAGTTTCATTTCTGGACCAGAACTCGGAAATAAGAAATTAAATTGTGAAATGAGCGAGTTCTTCCCATTAGTTGTATGTTCCACTATCGCAAAACGACTTCCTGTTGTAAAATCAGTCAGCATTATTCAGTGATTTCCCTTGACTGCATCTTGCACACTTTTGACGTGATGTTCAAGATTGCTCGAAATTCATTTGAATGCACTCGCTTAAATTCTTTCCATAGTTTGACGGAATATCGCGAATATTGTGAACAGGTCTTGCATTTCTAACGGAAGTGGTTATTCGTGTTGACTGTTGTGAAAAACCTAGCAGACGATTTCTTATGGCCAAACGGAAGAGTAAAAAAAGTAAACTGCACTATTTTTTATTTCTTCAAGCCTACTGCTGTAATTTCTAATAATAACCTTATTAGAAATAAAAGCAGACGATGAGCAAGGAAACTAACATTGAAACTGAAAAAAAACCCTGAAAAGCGAAAATATAGTGCAGACACCACTGGTAGTACAGATGAACCTGAGACCAGGTTATCTAAATGTAAATCAAGGCGTGGTAATCCCAGTATATGGCCTCTTCGAAAGTACAAATCCTGATTAATATGTGATAGGGATAAAAATTAATATTGTGCAATATGTGCAAATAGTATGGTCAACCAGTTGGAAAAGATGGGAAAATGCTTTTCTTCAATGGGTCAAGGAATTTGAGAACCATCAAATTTTAACACATTAATAATCCAGTGATATAGCCCAGGCACACCTGGAACAGGACCTGTGCACATGGTCACACCTGGTGTTTTCTAATTTCGAGCCCGTAAGTGCCTTTTGCTAGTCATGACTTCCCCAATTCGTTTCTATATAAATTTTATTAATTTGGGTTTGAGTTGAATGGAAGCAACTTTAATACTTTTGCGGGGGCACAGGTGGCCCAGTCGATAAGGCGCCGCGATTCGCTGTGCAGAGTTGCGTCCCTTGGGCATGCCAGAATCCTATGATTGTGGGTTCGAATCCCGGATCGCCCCGATTATGTTTTTAGGTTTGTCAGCACCATACCCGTGCTCATGGGTTTCCACGAAAGGGTAAACGTCTGAGACCTTCATCATTTCGGGCTTTCCTCCCACATTAAGCTGACACGCCGCGATGTAACTGTAATACTGTTAAAAGCGGCGTTAAACCTAACTCACTCACTTTAATACTTTTGCCTCAGTTCCGCTGTGTACTTCTCCATGAAACTTTGTACAATGTCAGTCTAAGGCTGTTATATAAAGAATCTCACCAGAGTGTCTTTTGATATCAAATATATCAACACGAGTTCATAAAAGCTTGAAAACTCCAAGGCTTGCCGAGGATTTTTCAACTTTTATCAACGAGTGATGATATATTTGATCTCAAAAGACACGAGGGTGAGATTTTATTTATCATCCAACATCATTCTTTCAACTTTTTCAGTTTGTAGACAGTAATAAGCAGTGTCTTAATAAAAAGTACCGCTTACAGCTTCAGTAGCAGAGTCATTAGTGATGTCATTTGATTGTGCCGTCATGGTAACAATGACGTCACAATGGTCTGCAAAGCATTTTGATGCAATTTCATTGCAGCGATATCTACAGTGTAGATATCGCTTCATCTCACCCAAGCGATATCTCCTGGGGGAGCCAGTTTTGGATGTTAAAGTGTCTTTGTCCTTTTCAGATTGTAAAATTATGTTTTACTTTCTTATTTTAAAAAAAATAACACACTAGTGACACGGCAACAAACAATGCCATAATAGGATTCACAGTAGATATATTAGAAATTCACTATGTTTGCTTTATCTTTACTCAAACATATACAAGTAAAAAAGAATATGTGCATCATAAAAAAGAAATGGGAACATTAGCGACTTGTAGTGTAACCACCGAGCTCAAGTGAGTTTTTGTCATTACACAATATGTCACGTGACTAACCACGGGTCCGGGTAGTCCTGTGGGTACCCGGGTCCTACTCAGGACCTACCCGACCCGAGTACCCGAGTTACCCGTCCCAGCCCTACGGGGGATACAGATGACTTTATGTTCTTTGTTGTATTCATATTTGATTTTTGGTGTTCTTTATTACACGCGCTCGCGCAGAATATTGTAGTGAAATGATTTTTTTGGGTAGTTTATCACAATTTTTATTTACAGTAAGGAATAAAATAGTTAATTAAAGTGTAATTAAGGTGTTATTTATCATATGAAACTTATATTAGTTTGCGTGTTTGTGGTTTAAGGCCGTACTCAGCAATAGTCCAGCTAAATGATGGCGGTCGGTAAATAATCGATTCTGGACCAGACGATCCTGTGATCCATTGATCTGCGCAATTGGGATACAGTGACATCCATCAACCAAGTCAGCGAGCCTGACCACCTGATCCCGTTACAAGTATGGGTTGCTGAAGACCAATTCTAACCGGATCTTCACGGGTCGGTACTTATATTAAAATATAAATAAAAAAAAAAAAAATAAAATAAATGTATATATAAAATACAATAAACAAACTAACAATTGTGTTTATTTATTATATCATTAGACTTCTAAGTCTTCTTTTAGATAATATTATAAACTAGTCTTCTTTCGCCATAAATGTTATACAAACATGACCATAAAAATTCCATTTCATCGTCACGCGATTTGATGGCCACGCCCACTGGATTGTTGCCCGGAAGTCATGGTAACCGTAGGTTTGTCCCCCTTTTGTTGACGGAAGTTGATCCTGTGCCGTCATGTGTTGTCATTACCATTTAGCCTGAAACAATTGACTGCACTGGGCCTCACACGACAGCCTGTCTCACTGTCGCAACAACTGTAGAGGAATATAGTTTTCGGTGTACCACAGTTTCGAAAGGAGGTATTTGACAACCAGAAGCAGCTAGGTAATTAGGATTTGCTCACAGAAACAAAAGCGGGCAGCTTACGGACAAGCCGCGCACCTGTCAACAGAAACATGGCGGAGAACGTTCGAGTGGCCGTGCGGGTCAGGCCTTTTATATCCTTTACTGTTGTACGGCTTTTGTTGGCGTTCTTTGAAAGCAACACGGAGTAACATTTTAGCGATTTACCTGCGTCTGATTTATCAATGCGCTGTTTGTTTCCCTTGTTAGAATAAACTGTTTGACACTTGCCTTATGATTGATTAGCGTGGTACAATAGTTCGTCGTTTTGACATTGTTTACATTGCTGAATTTCATTGTCTTTCAATTACCATAAGTACTTTATGTTGTGATTTATAAAAATCTAAATGTTATAAGTAGTATTTTCCTTTTATTAATCATTGTCATCTTTCAGAATCTCATATGGGTGTAGATATTATACAACGAATGACATTTAGCCTGTAGATTTAGGCCTAAATCATTTCGCAATAGGCCTAGCTGTGGTGGTGGAGTTTATTGCCATGGGCTGTGTTTACTTTGTGTTTGGGGCTCCTTTGTAAAGAGAATGTGAAGTGTGGTGTGTTTGAATTATGTCTGTAATAAGCAGTGTATGTAAATACTGTTTTCATATAGAAGTACATGGACTACTTTGTAATCATCAATTACTTGAGAAAAAAATATGATAAAATTCCTTTCAAGTAGTACTTTTTAAATCTTTTGGGTTTTGTGATTTGGCTGTAATTAAAAATTAATTTGTTGACCATATTACACAGCAACAAATGTCTGATGTCAGTGAGTGAGTGTATGTTGTTAATGTCAGCATTATTTCAGCTATATCACGACTGCTTGTACACAATCAAATCTGGGAAATTATTCATTTTAATGTAAACTATTTACTGACTGAGGATCAAAGTGTTTCTTTTTTGTAAGGGGTTAATATAAGGTCCTAATAGTATATTGTTTGGAAATGCATCTCTGTCATGTGACTTAAACATTAAAATAATAGAATATGTTAATGATTTTATAACCCTGTCAAAACACTTTGTAAACCCTTAAAAGGCAATATGACAGTTATGTACCTTTCGATATACATGAATAGGATTTTGAACTCTTCATCATTAACTGTGTACTGTTAAACAATGTTAACATGGTTAAGGGGCAACAACACTCCATCTTTGAAAGTATTGACATATGGATGGCTTTTTTCTCATTGTTTCTTGGCAGATTCTAAATTTGCACACCATATTCGACGTAATAAGCGCCCTTGGCGAAATTTGCTAAGATATTGGCTCGTGAACAATCCCAATTAAGACCCCCACCGATTGATCAATGTACACAAGACTTATTTAATCGTGTATAATACGCACTTGTGTGTTATATGCACCCTTAATTATGGGCAATTAAATTCTGGAAAAATATATCTGTAGTACATAAACATTTCTGGCTGTCAGCATAAACCACGTAATTTATCTTTCAACTCTATTTTTTTCACCAAAATAATATTCAATTGAGAGCCCCCTATTTCTAATTTTGAGAGTGCCCTGGGCGTTTATTACGTCGAATACGGTTTTATGGACTTTAATCTTGACTCGTTTGACTTGTGTTCAGCGTGACTTGGCATTTGGTGATTATGCAGGCTAATTAAAGCAAGGGCAGCGAGACGACTGCGAGTTGGAGTAGTGTTGGTCTTAAGTTAGGATATTTTTTATACAAAGTATTTTTGTATTGGAGAGGCCTTCACATAGTCGTGCCTGTTAACCAATCTGATTTTCAATATATATTGAAAATATAACATTATTTGAAACAAGTCACAGACAAATAAAACATGTCCACAATTGTCTGATGTCTGATGTCAAACATGAAATGTGACGATGTCCGGACTGAGACTGGGAAGGGGAACAGACATGTTCAATGGTATCTCTTGTAACAACTGATACATTCAGATCTGGTTATGGTTTAAACAATATTTATTTAAAAAAGACTTGAGATTGGTTAACAGACATATAGAAACCTATATAAAGACCTCTCCCGTACGAAATAACGATCAGAAATATAACAGTATAGCAATCCTAAAGATAAGCAAAATTTACCTGTAACCGAAATTTGTTACAGAATACATTACAATAATTACAATATATCTGATATATTAAGTTAGCCGCAGAATCTGTTGGTGAGGGTAATGTAGGTAAATACAGATTCAATAATTGTAATATTATCATCATCTTGTAGATTAAATAGTATTTCCAAATAACGCGGTCTTGATATTAAAGCCCTGGACAAAGAAACAACGTGTTGATCTAACATCACAATAATTCAGACATTGTTACAATAAATAATGAAAACTGTCTTCGTTATGATGACCACAACTACAAGTAGGGTCATCATGGATAAATCTATTAAACCTGTGTTCGTTTAAATCGCTACATCCCAGTCTTAATTTACAGTGAAGAATTTGGTTAAATCTATTACCAAATGATTTAAATACTCTCTGCAGATGACATTTAGCAACATATTTTGATTTCATTGATATTTTATGTTTATAAATTCTGTGAAAGATTCTCTACAACGCTATTGGTTATCCAACAGATTCTTGTTCAAAATAGCAGAGGGCAAAAATGATTTTTTGTATAGTTTAGTGCAGCAAAGAGTATTGTGTGGGAGGTGGATGATCTAGTGTCATGTGGAAGTGGGAGATATGTTCAGTGGAACTAGGTCTGATAAAATGATTGCATTTTCTAATAAACATTTTGTGAAATAGACACATTTTATGATATTGTTGACTATTACTTAAAGATGTATGACCAGTTTCATCATATAATTTTGAATGACTGATGCCTCTAGCGGATCCACAGATGGACCGAAGTGCATCCAGATGTAATTCTTTTAAGATAAATTCTTGATTCTTTGTACAGTTATTCCAAATATAATCACACTAATAAAATATAGGTCGGTACAAGAGTTATTCAGTCATCATTGAAGACTTTTTGCAGGCAATACTCTAAATTAAAAATCATTGGGCTAACTTTAGAATCAAAATCTTTGATATGGACATGCCACTGACAATCATTCAGAAGCGTTACCCCAAGATGCTTATGTGAATGAACTGATATTATTTTAATGATATTTATTAAAAGGTCAGGTAAGGCAGATTCAATCTTTTTCAAGAAAATAAAATTGATTCTGTTTTACTGGGGTTGAACTATACTTTCCAAGTTTTGGCCCAGTTAGCTATCATTTGTAAGTCTTCATTTAGATATATACTTGATGATATAATATCATCAATGATAACATATAAAGAACATAAAAGAAGTATCGTCAGCAAATAGTTTCATATTACACTGAACGTCATCAACTTTATCTTTTATCAATACCAAAAATAATAATGATCCTAAAACTGAGCCTTAAGGAACTCCTGCAAAAACTGGTTGAACATTTGATTTATGACCATTAATTACTGTTTACTATCTCTATTGCAGTAGTAACTCCCAAACCATGATAAAAGACAACCTATTATTCCACATACTTTTGGGGACATGGGTGGCCCAGTCGTCTAAGGCGCCGTATTCGCTGTGCAGAGTTGCGTCCCTTGGGCATGCCAGAAACCTATGATTGTGGGTTCGAATCCTGGTTCGCCCTGATTATGTTTCTAGGTTTGTCAGCACCATACCCAGGCTCGTGGGTTTCAGCGAAGTGGTAAAGGTCTGAGACCTGCATCACTTCAGGGCTTTCCTCCCACATTAAGCTGACACGCCGTGATATAACTTGTTAAAAGTGGCTTTAAACCCAACTCACTCACTCACTCCATATACTCTTGATTTATGCCAAACTCGATTGTAAGCTGTACTTATATCAAAATTGACTTCTGTAACCTGTTTCCCACTCTCAAGTGCCTTAGCTGTAAGGTTATATTAATAAGTAAGTTGATAGGATGTGGAATCCCCCGTGTAAATCCAGATTGCAATGAAGTAATTGCATATATGGCAGTTTTTATGGATTGCAATTTCCTTTATACTTTGTCAAAGCGTTTCAGAGCTACTTCTTGCTTCTGGGGGGGGATGGGTAGCCTAGTGGTTAATGTGTTCGCTTGTCACGCCGAAGACCCGGGTTCGAATCCCGACATGGGTACAATGTGTGAAGCCCATTTCTGGTGTCCCCCGCCGGGATATTGCTGGAATATTGGTAAAAGCGGTGTAAAGCCAAACTCACTCACTCACTCACTCACTCACTACTTCTTGCTTCATCACGTGGAGCAATGATGAAGGAACGAGAAGAGCCTCAGAAACATTGTGACAAAGAATAAAAGAAGTTGCTAGCCTTATAAAGTGCCATATATTCATATTCTTTCAACCTCTAAATGCCTATCAACGACATCAATGAAGTAATTGTTCCCTTATCTAAAAAGAGATTTCAGCCATGTTTAAACACACACTTTGGACAAACAACTTGAGACAGCTACAGGTCTATACTTTGTACAGTCCTGAACATCGTTCATGTTATGTATTAGTACCATAGCCATGATAGCAGGACCTTTTCACACATCATGAAAGATTGAATTTGATAAGGACATATTAGATAAAATCCACAATGGTTCTGACAGCTGCTCCGCTAATAATTTCAAGACACGATTGCTAATATTATCTGGTTTTGAAGCATCTAGTAACAAGATGATAAATGAGGCCTGGGTTATCAGAGGGTTATCAGAGTGTTATCAGAGGGTTATCAGAGGGTTATCAGAGTGTTATGTGCCCCGAACATGTCAATCCCCCAGGACTAGTGGTTTGAGTGTCTGCCCGGAGAGTGGAAGGTTGGTTTTTTTATCACTGGGCACGTTCATACCAAAAGACATTTAAAAATGGTATGTGCTATTTCCCAGCTTAGAGCAGGGGTAAAACAAGGCCTGGTCAGCTTGGAGTCAGTATACTGAGTCTGTGTGGGGTATCTGTGTTAAACTGTGGCATGGGATCTCAGAACTATATAAATCGACATTAGACTGAACTAGTACAAGCAGAAACACACACACACACACACACACACACACACACACACACACACACACACACACACACACACACACACACACACACACACACACACACACACGTTAAAAGATAGTACTTGTTGTTACCCTGACTGGCGCTGGGCTTAAAGGGTCTATAAAGGACTGTTCGGCTCGGTGTCAGTATATCTGTGTCTGAGTGGGGTATTCATGTTAAACTACGACATGGTATGTCAGTGAGCTAGCAATATAAATCGGCATTAGACCGGACGAGTACAAGCAGACGCACACAATGTACACACATGTCAATACATAGGTGCATATTAAACCCCATTTCACCTCCCCTCAACGTAACATTTTATGTGTTCTTTTCTAGTTTTTCAACACAGGTACTCTTACATATGCCAGTGGTGACATGCTGTTTGCAGTGTATAAAATTCCCCAAAATATCAATCAGTCAACCGGACTGGCAACATTGCTAAGTTACCAGACCAGATAAAATGTTGCCAGTCCAGAATTTTCTAGACTAAGGGACTTAAATAATAAAAGAGTAAACATAACAATAGTACTGTTGAATATTAGTTGTCAGAAAATAACTTTTCAAAACTGTCAGCAACATAGACCGTCTTGGACTGTCAGACTGGTATCTGGCACACCTGAATATCATCACACATTCGTCATGTTCATCTGGTCATATATTTATTGAAAAAAAGTTAATCCGCCAAGTTCTTTTGTTTTTCAATTTTGAAGAATTCCTTCATTCTAAATATATGATTGTCATATGTAAGAATAATATATATGCATTGACTTTAGGCACTAGTCAATAACCCCAGTCTAGTAAACCTTGCCAATAAAAGCCCATACATTAATACAATTTGACTGTTCATCGTAGGGACTTCCCGCGCTACATGTATTTAGATTGTGAAAATGTTATGTTGACATTTAATAATCAAACTGCCTCAAATATGACTTTTAACAAGTCAAAGTATGGCATTTATGATTTATGTATCCATTCTCTTGCAACTAAAGTCCATTTCAAGGCATCAACAGCAGTAATTTGACCGTGGTTGCTGTAAATAACGGTGAGTTGTGCGATCTCCCGATGACTTCACACACGATTTTCGCTGAAATTACTGTAAACATTATTGAATGAAATTTTGAATAAAATGAATAAAATAGATTACAAACATTAGTCCAGATAAACAATGAACACCTTTTTATAGTCAGATAGTAATATGTACTTCAATTCAGATTTGGTGACTGGTATTTCTGGTGTTACGTGATAGCGGTGATCAGTTGATAATGTTTTTTGAGATGGGAAAATACATTGTGTCTTTGGAAAACTTGAGTTTATTATAAATGTAAGGAAATTTAGGAGCCATACTTTACCGGCGCTGTAACCGAGCTAGCGCTACATTGAAGAGCGAAATAGCAAGGGAACACTGTACTGAGATCTGTTGAAAACAAGGTCAACAGACACTCAAAAGTTTTTGTCACCGACTGATTTTTTAATGTGACTAATCCTCATACCTGACAGCCATTTTTATTTCCATCTGTGATATAAGAACATAACTTGATCTTGTCCAAATACACGGACATGACGTAGTAGCTGTTCTCCTTGACTGTGTTTACAACTCGCGCGAGACGGCCAGGAAAGCCAGTATCATTATACAGATGAACGGTAAACAGACAGAGATCACAGATCCAGAAAACACTAAAGAAAAACCCAAGAAGTTTGCCTTTGACTTCTCCTACTGGTCCCACGATGGCTACACGGAGCGAGGAGATGGGTACCTGGAGCCCAGCTCCCCCAAGTACGCTGACCAGGTAGGCCGGCCTCTGTACATCCACAGGATGTATGCTTTCAGAGTGGTGCTCGTTTTGGGCCAGGGCTAATGAGTAATGTACTGAATGGGTTCTTGAAAGAGTCTTTTATAAATATTAGTTTGCATACCATTCATACAGGTGACATATTTGTGGAATCATGTACCTAGATTTTTTACAGAATACATCTTTCCATGTGAAAGTTAACTTGAATAAAAAATGAATAATCTTATTTGCCCCCCCCTAGATTTTTTACAGAATACATTCTTCCTTGTGTAAGTTAACTTGAATAAAAAATGAATAATCTTATTTGCCCCCCTCCCCCCCCCCCCCCTTGTCAAAAAAAGTGAACTATGGCCTTGATATGTCTTATTTTGGTTTACACTTTCCGATTAAAGTGACCTCGGTGTCTGAGTGGGTTAGCTCACTGAATTTTTGTGCTGGCGATTAAGTGGCTTACTCTGAGGGTGTGGGTTTGAATCTCAGATGGGACCGCACCCAAAAAGTACTAGAATTTGTTCTTTTCTGTGCAAATCCTGCAATCGACCGAACTCTGCATGAAAGTTTACGAACCGGATTTCGATTTCGGTGCGCGATTTTGATTGGACTATGCATAGACTCGTTAGCCCAGCCAAAATGTAACTCCATAATACCAGCCTAGTTCGGCAAGGGTGTAAACTGGACTTTTATAGTCAGTTAACTCTCTTGCCTCGGGAAGATGACATGTTACCTGCGTTTGGTCAAGTCACTTTGTGATTTGAGAATAATGTGCACACACCCTTATTTCAAAATCCTGGATCCGCTTGTTTACCGACCCTATTTTTGGATGGGCTTAATTTTATTTTTGACCTTACTTTCAAACACAGTGAACATGGTTGATTAGGAGAGGTGATTTATGTGTCCAGTTCTCTCCAATGTACCAGACAACAGGTTTACATGTCTGTCTGTCTGTCTGTGTCCGCAGCAAGTTGTGTTTGACGACCTAGGAAAGGGGGTGCTGGACAATGCCTGGAAGGGCTACAACTGCTCCCTCTTCGCGTATGGTCAGACCGGCAGCGGCAAGTCCTACTCCATGGTGGGCTACGGCACCAACAAGGGGATTGTCCCCCTTGCCTGCGAAGACCTGTTCCGTGGCATCGATGAGAAGAAGATGACGGCCAAGGAAGGGGAAGAATACCAGGTGAGCTAATGATCTGAATCCCCCTGGAGGTGTTTTATCTCAGTATTCACAGCTGCTATTATTTTTAAGTCCATTTCAACCGGGCCTTAAATTTTTTTTGCTTCCTTTACGGATCCACCAGCCTTAAAAACTGAAAATTCAGAAATTCAAGGTAATTTTTATATCGCCGACGGCAACCAAAAATAATCCAAAGGATATTTATGTGGCTAAAACAGAAACCTTTGTAACACTAAGTCATCATTACAGTCAGATTTTAGATTTATGATCTATATAAGGAACAAAACCAGACAAAGATTACTTTTTTTAGGACATACCCAAAAAATAAAATCGTAAGATGATTCACATGATTACAAAAATTGTATTTTGTATACTATTTTTTTTCGACCTACTGAGTAAAATTGTTCACTTTCAAAATCTGTAAAAAAAAAGGAGAAAAAGGTGGTGCATCAGGATGGCGGTGAAGTCTGGAAGACTAAAGCAGAATCATCGTCATGGTGATAACATGTATAAGATCTTTCCCTCAGGCCTGTTTTGTGTATTTACTTGTTTTATGGGCTCAATACAAAACCGTAGTCAGTGGTAGAAAAAAATAAAAAATTGTAAATAAATGTTTTTTCAAAGTGAATTCTTAAAAGAATGGTTGGTTGAATGGGCTTCACACGTTGTACCCATGTCGGGAATCGAACCCGGGTCTTTGGCTTGATGAGCAAACGCTTTAACCACTAGGCTAACCAACCGCCCCAGTCAGAATATTAACAATAATGATGTGATGGTGGTTGTGGTGCTTATGGTGATGGATTGGATGATGATGATGATGATGATGATGATGATGATGATGATGGTGGTGATGGTGCAGGTGAAGCTGAGTATGCTGGAGATCTACAATGAGCAAGTGAGGGATCTTCTCAACCTCAAGTCTGCACAGAAGGGGGGTCTCAAAGTGCGGCAGCACCCTTCCAAGGGATTCTATGGTAAGACATTCAAACAGCAGCAATGTTTACTGAACCTAAAGTACTTGGCCCAAACTACAATAACGTGACTAGAAAAGTTAGTAGGATCACCTAAAGTGCCCTTATCATTAGCAGTAGTTTTACAGACAATAGCATGCAAGGACTTAGGGATGGGGACCATGTTCTGATGCAGGAACACCCTAGAGTCAATGAGTGACATTTAGTGAACACCTTTGACCAATAACCAGTCTACAGTAATTCCAGTCATGTGCCAAACAAGTTGTCTATTTACTATTAATGGGACTACATTTGTGTTGTCTGTTTCACCTTGACCTTGTGTTGTCTTGTTTCACCTTGACCTTTGTTGTCTATTTTACCTTGACCTTTTGTTGTCTGTTTCACCATGACCTTGTGTTGTCTGTTTCACCTTGACCTTGTGTTGTCTGTTTCACCTTGACCTTGTGTTGTCTGTTTCACCTTGACCTTGTTTTATCCGTTTCACCTTGACCTTGTTTTATCCGTTTCACCTTGACCTTGTGTTGTCTGTTTCACCTTGACTTTTTGTTGTCTATTTTACCTTGACCTTGTTTTGTCCGTTTCACCTTGACCTTGTTTTGTCCGTTTCACCTTGACCTTGTGTTGTCTGTTTCACTTTGACTTTTTGTTGTCTATTTTACCTTGACCTTGTTTTGTCTGTTTCACCTTGACCTTGTATTGTTTGTTTCACCTTGACCTTGTATTGTCTGTTTTATCTTGACCTTTTATTGTCTGCTTTCAGTGGACACGCTCACCTCTTGGCCCGTGGACAGTTACATGGCCATTGACAACAAGATCAACGAAGGAACAAGAAACAGGACAGTTGCCTCCACCAACATGAACGCCACTAGCAGGTGAGCTACTGAACCTGTTGTTACTGTTTGTCCTGTCAGCGCTTTTTACAATGGTGTGCACTGAAACATAGTACACAGTAGATCACACACATGCGTTTGTATTTGAAAATGCACACTGACTCATATGGGTTTGCTTAGACGTGTTTCACAAACTGGAAGCAAATGGCACACTCTTGCCTTCCACAAGTCCAGATTTTCGTAACCAAAGTCTATATTGTTTATTGTACATAAGGCCTTAGTCCCAAATACAAAGAATGCAAGTTAACACATAGTGTTAAATATGTTGCGTCCATCGATAGCTACAAGATCGATATAAGTATTCAGACATACATATGAACTATAAATAAGACATTCATATTGGATTTTGGGTTGGAGCCATACCTGTCTGTTCCATTCATTCTCGTTTATAGAACTGTTGGAGTTGCTAGTATCTGTTTTCTTATAAAACCGGAAATGAAGCTATTAAGATATGACGCCCTTTATTATCTTCAAGGATGTTGTGAAGTGAATCTCAGTGTATGATGCTTCTTTAATTACCATGGTTACTGAGAAAGGTATCAGGGATTTATGTAGGATTCCGTAACAAATGTTCTTGTCCTGAAAATGATGAAAAACCAATTATTTTTTTAAAGTTCTTATATTCTTAAATATAGTATATAGTATATAGGTCTATAGGTATTTTATGCTTGCATTCAGTACAACAATGCCTCTTCTCTTTTTTGATCCTGTTATCAGTGAATTATGAATCACCTCCACAAAGACATGTATTTATTGTAACTATTTTAACATGAACTGGGAATTTTTTAATTCCAATTATTGATTTTTTACTGACATTTGCCTAAGATCTGAGCAATATCGACCTCTGAGAAGATGTAGATAAATCTCTGAGAATTGAATATATTATTGTAAATATAGACCACTCAAGCAGTGGTTAACTTCCACTGAAATTATCGGTTTTCAAGTTTGTGTAATCAATAATTGTATGCAAAGTTAGACTCTGGAGTTTGATCATACTGATACTTTTTATTCAAGTCGAGCCCACACAATTGTGGCGATCACGTTCGTGCAGAAGACGATGAACGAAGCCAACCAGAACATGACAAAGACGTCCATCATCAACCTAGTCGATCTTGCTGGCAGGTGTGTACATGGTGCTTGATGTAGTGTTACCAGAGCTACAGATAAGCGGCGAATTTACATAAAATACCCCCCTTCCCCCCCCAAATATTCAAAACCCAATTACTTTCAATTAACTTCCGTACAGAAACAAATGCATTAAATTACAAGCGAATTTTACTTTCCAAGTCAAGCCTATATATTTAGAACAGTTATCATGGTTATGTACATCTAAAACAGAATTTCATTTTTTCTAAATCTTAAAATGTTGACCCAATAGAGTGATGAATAGATGAGTGAAAAAATATTGGTTACCCTATGTAAAAACGCAATTAAAATAGAAACCCTAGAGTAAAAACTCAATTGCTCAAAAAGTTATCTGGAGCTCTGGTTACGCTCGGGTCGGGTGGGTACTGAGTAGGACCTGGGTACCCACAGGACTACCCGGACCCGTGGTTAGTCACGTGATATATTGTTTAATGACAAAATTTATCTAAAACTCTATGTTTAAACTACAAGGCACTAATGTTAGCAGTTCTTCCTGATGACAACACCCATTCCTTCTGATTTATATACGCTTGAATAAAAATCAAACTTCAGTCAACTTCAGTGTATACACCAGATCGTTTCATACCTGTATCTAAACACATTTTACGAGAGCGATGGTCAAACTTATCCCAATCGGACAGTTTGTATCTACCTCTTGAGACCTACAGAGGGTACCCGGGTAGGGTTGGGTAATAGGGGAGTGGGTACCCGGGTAGTAAATTTGGACTTGTCCAAGCCCTATCATGTATTGTGTATGATCCTACAGCGAGCGAGCAGAGAGCACTGGAGCTACAGGGGATCGGTTGAAGGAGGGGTCGGCCATTAACCAGTCCCTCAGTACACTTGGTAACTGCATCAAGGCTCTTGCTGACCTGTCCAATGGCAAGAAGAAAACTGTCGGTCAGTCTTTGTTCTCGTGTTCCGTGGACATATTGGTGTTGTTTCATATTTGACCGGGGGTCACAGCGATTCGCTGTGCAGAGTTGCGTCCCTTGGCCAGAAACCTATGATTGTGGGTTTGAATCCTGGTTTGCCCTGATTATGTTTCTAGGTTCGTCGGCACCATACCCGTGCTTGTGGGTTTCACCGAAGTGGTAAACGTCTGAGACCCACCATTTCTGGTGTCTCCCGCCGTGATATTGCTGGAATATTGCTAAAAGCGGCGTTAAACCATACTCACTCACTCACTCATTTGATGCAGAAGAGATTTCCAAAGATTTCTTGGTTTGATATATAAGGATAAGAGATGTAATTTCTGTTTTAGTGCCGTTCCGAGACTCTGTTCTGACGAAATTGCTCCAGAATGCTTTGGGAGGCAACAGCAAAACCATCATGGTAGGTCTATATCGTTATCCTTCATGGCCTGGTAGATAGAGTGTTTGCCTGCACAGTGGAAGGTCTGTGGTTCTATCCCCATCTGCATCATATCAGAATATATTAAAGATGGTACTTCTTGTTACCCTGCCTGGCTCTAGCCATTAAAGGGATGCCTAGCAGAACATGAAATACAATTAAACTTGTAAATCATCATATTTAGAAAATATTTAAGAAAATCGATATTTGTCACTGTGGTGTGAGGGATTTTCTTGATAGTCTTTGTGCAGGTTGTATGTTTGTCTTCTATATCTGCATTACGACACTGACTAATGTATTGTGTGTTTCTCCTGTAGATCGCTGCCTTGAGTCCCGCTGACATCAACTATGAAGAGACACTTTCAACTTTAAGATTTGGTAAGATTTGTGTCCCTTGTTTGCGTTGATCAATGGTGTAGATACAAGGAGCTTGAAAATAGCGGTATCTGTTCAGCTACCTGGCAGACACAATTGGTGACCTTGGCCACTGGTCCGAAGCCTGAATCTAGTAAAATTCTATTTGGCCTTGTAAGCTAAGCTAAATTAGTCCAGATAATAACATCAAAAACTATTATTAAAATAATGAGAGTATATCCTGACCCCAGCCAGCATGTTTTCTTGAGAGAACAACTATTTAAACATAATGAAAATTTAGGCCTCAAAACACTTTTATGCCTCAAGAGCAACCAATCTGGCATTAAACATAATTTTCACTGTTTTTCGTCGGTTCGTAATTTCCATTATGATTTCCCTATCATGCCATTGGAAGGCTGCAATTGATAAGATACAGCTTTCACTGGACTCACTTCTGTCGTATTTACATGTATAATGTTTGAAGATATTAATCTGTAAACTCAGCTAAGTGTTCATAAATGTCTTGGCGCTCCTCAGAGGAAAAGGTTCTGGTTTTGAGAGCTCATATTTCATTACATTTAATTCCAGATTGATTCTTATAAAAAAAAAAAAATCATTACGTTTCAATTCATTTTTGCCATGGAAAGGATATGTAGTTTGTCTCTGCTACTGACACATACTTTCCACTGAAACAAGAAGAGATAAAATGGTAGCAATACTCCTGCCTTATGACGGCGGTCGGTTGCAATACAGAAATGATCAGTTTTAGTCCTGGGTCTCATTGATGTTCCTAATCTGACAATAGCACAGAAGCCATTAAAGTTTCTTGAAAGAGAGATGATTATTTTCTTTCAGCTGACCGAGCTAAAGCTATCAAGACCCAGGCCGTGGTGAATGAGAGCCCGACAGACAAGCTGATCAGGGAGTTGCGCGAGGAGAACGCGCGGCTGATGGAGATGCTGAAGGGTGGTGGGGGAGCCGCTGTTGTTGGCACCGAGGGATCCAGCTTCAACAGAGAGGAGGGTATGACCTTGCATGTCATGGAAGTAAACTTTTCCGGACCCCATTTCACAAAGCGATTGTAGTGCTACGACTATCGTATGTTTATGTAAAAGTATATGAGTTACGATAATCATAGCGCCATGATAGCTTTGTGAAATGGGACCTAGATCCTTTATTATAACAATGGGGCACAGTTGTCTAAGGTGCATCAATTTGCTATGCAGAGTTGCCCCCCTTAGGTATTCCAGAATCCTATAGTTGTCTCATGGTTGCTATAAGTTTTAAAAGTGGTAAGACCACGCCACTTTGGAGTGTCAAGAAAGAACTGACTGTCGCGACATGACTGAAACCTTGTACAGATGAACCTTACCGAACTTCCTGTGTGTTGCCATGGTTACAGAGATGGAACGTCTGAAGAGGGAGCTGGAGGAGCAGATGAAGGAGAGTGAGACGACTTGGGCTCAAAAACTGGAGGAAGCCAACTTCGCCAGCCAGGTGAGACACGACACACAGACCGGCAGCCGGTGGCTGACACAATCAGTGTTCAAAATAGACATTGGCCCGTAGGCCCGAGGCCGACAGATTTGTTCTCGGGCGGATAGTTTTAAATTTCAGCAGACCCTTACGGCCTGCAGTTTATTTTAAGCTGTGAACTTGGTAAATGATTCATAACACTGAGATTGCTTAGAGAAACAGGGTCCAACTTCAAAGTACTCCGCTCGTTAACACTTTCAACACCGGGGGCCGCTGTACCGGCCACACCGTAGCCCCGTCAAAATAATATATAGTTTCATGAACCTACCTGTCATATCATACATCTATTACATCTATCACTTTTCACAAAGTCGAATAGATTAATATTATTAACTATTTCCTGAAATGCTTTGAAATTTTTTATTCTGGGACACATGTTTCAACAACGGGTCCTTGCCGAACATGCTCATGTCAAGGAGCAATATAACACATTTTAAATCAACCACCCACCAACCAACCCACCCACCCACCCACTCACTCACTCACTCACTCACTCACTCACTCACTCACTCACTCACTCACTCACTCACTCACTCACTCACTCACTCACTCACCCACTCACCCACCCACCCACTCACTCACTCACTCACTCACTCACCCACTCGGCCAGCCACCCACTCACTCACTCACTCACTCACTCACTCACTCACTCACTCACTCACTCACTCACTCACTCACTCACTCACTCACTCACCCACCCACCCAATCAATCAATCAATCAATCAATCAATCAATCAATCAATCAATCAATCAATCAATCAATCAATCTCCTCCACAGGGCCAGGCGGAGGAGGAGACCCAGAAACAGGCGAGGCGGAAGACGGTGTGCAACTTCTGGAACCTGAATGAGGACCCCGCCCTCACTGCCATGGTCATACACTTTGTCAAAGACGGTAAATATCTGTGATGGAACTATCAGCATCATCCCCCAGATCATGGCAATATCGCACTCAGGGTCTCAACGTGATCTTCATCATAGTGGTACACACAGATGAACCGCATCTTCAGGCTTTTATCCAACACTTAGGATGTCTGCTGGGATAGTTTTGTCTTCATTGGGCTCTGAACTCTCGTGTATTGAGTCTTTTGAGAAATACGATCAGTCAGTGTATTACCAATTTGATTGTTGAACTCAAGAATCTCAGATTAAATTCAAATTGTCAAATATACAGCGTAAATTTTCATACAAAAAGTGAATTTGGTACCATTTACGACAGGTCGCTTATTGAGGGAGAGTAGCATAGTTCTTTAAACTATGTCACTGCATTGTATCCTTGTTGCGTGACGGCATGGCTGAAAGCTACAACACGGACAAAGTCATATGAAGCGCTATTTTACTATTTATACTCTGATTTATGATATATTCATTTATAATAGACTAATGTATTTCTCTTATATAAGTTCTGTCAGCATGTACTATGGTCTTACTTCAGGGCAATCCAAGATTGGCACCAAGAACGCCTCCCCTCCACCAGATATACAACTCAATGGTTTGGGGTAAGCTTGGACTTAATTAGATCACATTTCCTGAGAAAAGGCACAATCCTTAATTCCAATTTGGTTACAGTTTTGTAAGACAAAGACTGAGAGGAAACGAGTGAGTGAGTGAGTGTGTGAGTGAGTGATGTTAGAAGCCACAGTCTTATCAATAATCTGGACCTGAGTGAGTGAGTGAGTGATGTTAGAAGTCACAGTCTTATCAATAATCTGGACCTGAGTGAGTGAGTGAGTGAGTGATGTTAGAAGCCACAGTCTTATCAATAATCTGGACCTGAGTGAGTGAGTGAGTGAGTGAGTGAGTGATGTTAGAAGTCACAGTCTTATCAATAATCTGGACCTGAGTGAGTGAGTGAGTGTGAGTGAGTGAGTGATGTTAGAAGCCACAGTCTTATCAATAATCTGGACCTGAGTGAGTGAGTGATGTTAGAAGCAACAGTCTTATCAATAATCTGGACCTGAGTGAGTGAGTGAGTGATGTTAGAAGCCACAGTCTTATCAATAATCTGGACCAGAGTGAGTGAGTGAGTGAGTGAGTGAGTGAGTGAGTGATGTTAGAAGTCACAGTCTTATCAATAATCTGGACCTGAGTGAGTGAGTGAGTGAGTGATGTTAGAAGTCACAGTCTTATCAATAATCTGGACCTGAGTGAGTGAGTGAGAGTGATGTTAGAAGTCACAGTCTTATCAATAATCTGGACCTGAGTGAGTGAGTGAGTGAGTGATGTTAGAAGCCACAGTCTTATCAATAATCTGGACCTGAGTGAGTGAGTGAGTGAGTGATGTTAGAAGCCACAGTCTTATCAATAATCTGGACCTGAGTGAGTGAGTGAGTGAGTGATGTTAGAAGCCACAGTCTTATCAATAATCTGGACCTGAGTGAGTGAGTGAGTGAGTGATGTTAGAAGCCACAGTCTTATCAATAATCTGGACCTGAGTGAGTGAGTGAGTGATGTTAGAAGCCACAGTCTTATCAATAATCTGGACCTGAGTGAGTGAGTGAGTGAGTGATGTTAGAAGCCACAGTCTTATCAATAATCTGGACCTGAGTGAGTGAGTGAGTGATGTTAGAAGTCACAGTCTTATCAATAATCTGGACCTGAGTGAGTGAGGGAGTGAGTGAGTGAGTGATGTTAGAAGCCACAGTCTTATCAATAATCTGGACCTGAGTGAGTGAGTGAGTGAGTGATGTTAGAAGCCACAGTCTTATCAATAATCTGGACCTGAGTGAGTGAGTGAGTGAGTGAGTGTGAGTGAGTGAGTGAGTGATGTTAGAAGCCACAGTCTTATCAATAATCTGGACCTGAGTGAGTGAGTGATGTTAGAAGCCACAGTCTTATCAATAATCTGGACCTGGCAAACCACTGACTGATATTATGAGCAACAATCAAGCCAAGTAGGGCCTGATGCCATACAGTCAGCCATAGGGCCAGGCCACCATGTGAGCAGCCATTTCAAACAAGCATCAAATACTGGGGTCCCACACAGACTATTCTACTTGATATCACATTACAGGTGGTGGAGTAGCCTAGTGGTTAAAGGGTTCGCTCGTCAAGCCAAAGACCTGGGTTCGATTACCCACATGGGTACAATGTGTGAAGCCCATTTCTTGTGTCCCTCGCTGTGATATTGGAATATTGCTAAAAGCAGCGTAAAACCATACTCAGTGATATCCCATTTGCAGAAATGCCATGACCTAGACCAAGACCATTTACAAGTTTTTAAAGTCCGCCTCCTATTTATAAAGCCCACTGACATGATATATATGATGCCAGAGATATTGTTCTGATGCTTGCTTTTTGTGTTTTGTAGTTGGTTTACGAGACCAGCTGACCAAAAAACCCTGAATTTTGACAAAAATAAAAAATACTTTTGACACAAGAATTTGTCACTGCTGTTCCTAAGAAATGGTGATTAAAAATACTTATATAAATATTTATTCTAGCTAAAAACAATGATCTTTCAGTATCTTCCCATGTTAAATGTGTTTATTTCCATACAATTTTAATTTTTTTTTCGACCACCTTCATTGAATTTTAGGCCAAACATTTTGTAAACCAACTGATAAAAAATTAAAGGCCTATTTGTGGATGCAGGGTAAAAGGCACTGATGCTGATATTTGTCTATTTTATCTGTAGTGAGTAGTGACGATTATTTGGGTAGAGAAATTCTGCGTATTATTCAAATGTTGTATGTTGCTCGGTATATCAAGGGAAGAATATATTTGTATCTGTCGTGAGTTGTCAGATATTGGACGTAACAAGCGCCCAGGGCACTCTCAAAATTAGATATTGGGGGCTCTTATTAGAATATTATTTTGGTGGAAAAACAGAGTTGAAAGATAAATTTCGTGGTTTATGCTGACGGCCTGACTGTTTATATACGACAGAGATACTTTTCCAGAATTTAATTGCCCATAATTAAGGGTGTATATAACACACGAGTGCGTAATATACCTGAATAAATAAGTCTTGTGTACTTTGATCAATCGGAAGGGGTGCTAATTGGGATTGTTCACTTGCCAATATATTAGCAAATATTAGGGCGGGGCGCTTATTACGTCGAATACGTGGTACATGCTTGCAGAAGGCTGTAGGTGCCTGCTTGGTTACCGCCATTGCTATGTTGTTGACTGGCATTGTTGCAGCATACAGAAAGAGCACGCTGCCATCGAGAACAAGAATAACATTGTGACACTCACCCCAACATCAGGGTCCCGCATCCTCGTCAACGGCGAGAGCATCAAGGACAGCCGTGTCTTGCACCATCATGACCGGTGAGTGGAACTGAAGTTACGCCATGCTCGGTTGTCGCAAGTAGTCGTTGAACACCACTTGGCAATGACGGAACTTTTTCTTTCTTCCCTTAAATTTGCTGTTTTACCAAATATACTACTCAAAAGAAGTTAAGGATCACCTGATTCTTTCATATTACTAAAGTTAATCTCTCATGTCATGACAGATTAAGTTTACCATTATGAAAGAATCGGGTGATCCTTAACTTCTTTTGAGTAGTATATATTGGATTCTTGTATCTGTGTGGAATGTAATCCATATTTCTATCTTCCAAGAGTCTCGCTGTTCTGTTATTGCTCATCTGAGTTTTAGTTATTGTAATACAAAAGAAAAAATGGAGAAGAAAGAATTTATTAAGTATATAACTATGGATATCCTGTTTTTTGTTTATTTATTGTTTTTGAGGCTTATGCAGATCTGCATTAAATTTATCTTCACAGAAATATAAATAATAAACTATTGTCCGTTGATAAGATTGAATTGAATAACTTCGGCAACGTTTGTTTTTCATTCAATGCAGTTAAGAAACAATTGTGTTAAATGTGTGACGCAAAGACTGTATGTTGGCTGCAGTGTAACTTGAACTGTATGGGCCAGTGGTGGTGGTGATGATGATGATATGAAAACTTCCTATGGTAATAAGAATTGAAAGATGTTTTGTCATAAGCTTTTCTTCATACCATTCTATCCTGTCCTCCCCTAGGGTGCTGTTTGGATCCAACCATTTGTATGCATTCCACCACCCTCATGATGAGTCCAAACAGAAGGAGCAGGGGGTCCAGGTTGAGGCTCCCACATATGACTCTGCCCAAGAGGAGATAATGAAACACACAGGTCTCTTCAAGGACACCAGTGGAGGGGACGGCAAGTCTAAAGGTGGGCGGATGTGCTGGGGGCAGCTGTGATGGGGGTGGGGGCGGCTGTGTTGGAGGGGGGGGTGGGGGGGGGCGGCTTTGTGTTGGGGGTGACTGTGTTGGGGGCAGCTGTGTTGGGGGTGGGGGCGGCTGTGTTGGGGGGGCGGCTGTGTTGGAGGGGGGGGGGGGGGGGCGGCTGTGTTGGGGGCAGCTGTGTTTGAACCCTTGTTTAGATTTCAGGGCAGAGTTCATTCTCAGGACCAAATATTTGGACCCTTGTTTCGATTTCAGGGCAGATTAGATCCTCAGGACCAGATATTTGAACCCTTGTTTAGATTTCAGGGCAGATTAGATCCTCAGGACCAGATATTTGAACCCTTGTTTAGATTTCAGGGCAGATTAAATCCTCAGGACCAGGTATTTGAACCCTTTTTTAGATTTCAGGGCAGATTAAATCCTCAGGACCAGATATTTGAACCCTACTTTAGATTTCAGGGCAGAGTTGATCCCGAGGAGCAGATATTTGAACCCTTGTTTAGATTTCAGGGCAGATAAGATCCTGAGGAGCAGATGTTTGAACCCTTGTTTCGATTTCAGGGCAGAGTTGATCCTCAGGACCAAATATTTGGACCCTTGTTTCGATTTCAGGGCAGATTAGATCCTCAGGACCAGATATTTGAACCTTTGTGTAGATTTCAGGGCAGATTAGATCCTCAGGACCAGATATTTGAACCAGGGTAGATTAGATCCTCAGGACCAGATATTTGAACCCTTGTTTCGATTTCAGGGCATATTAGATCCTAAGGACCAAATATTTGAACCCTTGTGTAGATTTCAGGGCAGATTAGATCCTCAGGACCAGATATTTGATCTCACCTGCTATTTTATTTATGTACCAGGTGATATTTCCCTAAGACTGTTGTTGTATTTGCAGAGGACCTATTGCTCCAGGAAGACCTGATACAGCTGTTGCCCATGGTGAATGAGGCAAACGCCATGTCTGAAGAACTAGACAAGAAGGTCAAGTTCGAGATCGCTCTTGTCTCACCACAAGCCCGGGGCCTGCAACACGGTCGGACGGAGGTAACGTCATCCACGTCAGATCTGTGAGACTGAATAAAAGTATATTTGAAAAATGGATGTTGTATTTGTTTGTTTTGTCTGATTATTTGCATTCATGGATGTGACAGCAGCCTGTTACTATTCAGTAGGACAACAAACAAACAAAACAAAACTTGTAAATGTCTTCAACTGTGAGATTTTCTTGACAACACGTTAGACCATGATGTTATCGCTGATTTCTCTGCAGGTGAATGTGAAGATGAGGAACCTGGTGAACGGCAATGAGTGGATGTTCGACCGAAACAACTTCATCAACCGAAAGTTCCTCATGCAGGAGATGTACCAGAATTTTATGGAGGGCAGCAAGGACTGGGATGTGGAGAGGGTGATTATCCCCCTTTTATCCTACCGTATTCCCCATAATAAGTGCGCTGGGAACTTAGAAAATTGATACCCTATTTCACCTCCCCTCACCTTGAAGTTGGTCAGCGGGCATTTCCTATGGCAAATACGGCAGCTAGTTACCCAGTTTTGAAGTACAGTTTTATGGTATTAATTTTCAACTTGATCTGTAAATAATGTTGTTGTAGGTCTGTAAATATCACAAAAACTATCATGTTTTGAACATTTTTTGCATCTTTGGCTTGTTCCTGAAACTGTAAGACCACAGAAGCTGACAGTTTGTATGGATTACTATAGCAACATATCTCAAGCAAGTGCTCACAGGATTGTAAAAATGGCTGCCATGGCAGAGAGGTTTTGCAGTTGAATGGTTAAATATGATAAAACCTTAAAATTGAATATGAAAGCAAGCAATTATCAGTGAAAATCAGACATCAACACTGAAAACAATACTCGAAAAATAGAAGTTCCAGCATAACAAAAGACAACCTCATCAGTGACGTCCATCGGGGCCTCATTTCAACAAACACAAAAAATTTTCTATTAACTTTGGTAGTTCAAAATTACATACTTGCGTAAGCATTTAATTCAAACCCGTTTGTTTAGCAAAGTGGCAGAAAATGACGTCCGAAAAAGTCCGAAACTGTTACTAAGGAAGAACCTCATGATGAAGTTAATTGTCATACTATTTTAATAATGTTTACATTTTGACCACTTGCCTCCCCAAAATTTATTTTGACTGGGTCACTTTTTTCACAGGAGAGAGATCCATTCTGGGAGCCGTCATCCACCCCTGTTCAGATAGGTACAGTGCATGTGTACCTACAGTCTCTAGCCTACATGATAGAGTTGCAGGAGAACCTGGCTGTCACCGACTACAAGGGCGTGGAACAAGGTAGGGAGTCTCCTAAACACTGATCTGTGTAGCTCACCTGACAAGATGATTCTTCATGGTCATCAGGAGTATATTGCATCCAATCTCTGCTGTATCTCACCTGACAAGGTGATTGATCATGGTCATTAGTAATAAATTGTATCCAATCTCTGCTGTAGCTCACCTGACAAGATAATTCTTCATGGTCATCAGGGGTATATTATATCCAATCTCACTGTAGCTCACCTGACAAGATGATTGATCATGGTCATCAGGAGTATATTGTATCCAATCTCGCTGTAGCTCACCTGATAATATGATTGATTATGGTCATCAGGAGTATATTGTATCCAATCTCTGCTGTAGCTCACCTGATAATATGATTGATTATGGTCATCAGGAGTATATTGTATCCAATCTCGCTGTAGCTCACCTGATAATATGATTGATTATGGTCATCAGGAGTATATTGTATCCAATCTCGCTGTAGCTCACCTGATAATATGATTGATTATGGTCATCAGGAGTATATTGTATCCAATCTCTGCTGTAGCTCACCTGATAATATGATTGATTATGGTCATCAGGAGTATATTGTATCCAATCTCGCTGTAGCTCACCTGATAATATGATTGATTATGGTCATCAGGAGTATATTGTATCCAATCTCGCTGTAGCTCACCTGACAAGGTGATTGATCATGGTCATTAGTAATAAATTGTATCCAATCTCTGTGTAGCTCACCTGAATGTTGAGATTCTGCCGTGTTCCGATGACTGGACAGAGTGCTGTGATGAATTCATCGAGGACCCAGGTGATCTGGTATGTATCCTTTCGAACAATTAAAATAATTGAAGCAGTGACAGAATATGGAAATTCAATATGGCCAACTGGCAGCCATATTGGATTAACTTTTAGAAAGTGACACTTTTGTATTGGCTGTGTTAGAACCAGTATCCTATGCTTGCTTTGTACATTTCTCAAGGCAGTTACGGACCTACCATGACTATCGAGGTAAAGCATACACGATGAGCCCTGTGAGGAATGAAATGTGATGAAACATAAAACATTTGGCGTTGTGTGTTTCTGATGTCTTAATCTCCAACTGTTGTGTTACAGCTATCCAGAGCACTGAATTTCAAGCTGAAGGTTATCTCCGGGCGTGGGATCCAAAACCGTTTCATCAAGGTTTGTCAGATGTTACAGAATTGTAGAATGAATGGGTGTGTGTGCTGCAATCTGATTGGTTGAAAAACATTGTTGAATAGGATTGGATCTCAGAAATCATTTGGACTTTTCACTTGAAAGGAATACTTTTTTTAATGTTTTTTTTATATTTTCATAATCCCAAATGGGGCGGTCAGATAGCCTAGTGGTTAAAGCGTTTGCACGTCATGCCGAAGGCCTGGGTTTGATTCCTCACAGACATGGGTACAATGAGTGAAGCCCATTTCTGGTGTCCCCGTCGTGATATTGCTGGAATATTGCTAAAAGCAGCGTAAAACCATACTCACTCACTCACTCATAATCCCAAATTTTAAGAAAAACATACCATTTGGATACACCATTAATTAATCACATTTGATCCATATATCTTGCTTGACAAGGTTGTAAGGATCTAAACCAATATGTCGCTATTACAGTATGATAAGGAAATTGTTATCCATAAATTTTGTCTTTCATATGTATACTACTTAAAAGAAGTTAAAGAACACCCGATTTTTTTCATATTTGACCATTAAATATATTCATATGCAGAAATCGAGTGTTTTTTAAGTGTTTTTTTTGTAGTATCTAAGAACGTCAATTTAGTTGTTAGTTCAGTTACCCCAGGGACTTGTGACCTCATCCATTGGGTCATGATGTCATCACATTCCAGGGTGACCTCATTGAATTGTGTCATGATGTCGTCACATTCCAGGGTGACCTCATTTATTGTGTCATGATGTTGTCACATTCCAGGGTGACCTCATTCATTGTGTCATGATGTCATCAAATCCCAGGGTGACCTCATCCGTTGTGTCATGATGTCGTCACATTCCAGAGTGACCTCATTCATTGTGTCATGATGTCGTCACATCCCAGGGTGACCTCATCCATTGTGTCATGATGTCATCACATTCCAGGGTGACCTCATTCATTGTGTCATGATGTCATCACATCCCAGGGTTACCTCATCCATTGTGTCATAATGTCATCACATCCCAGGGTTACCTCATTCATTGTGTCATGATGTCATCACATCCCAGGGTGACCTCATTCATTGTGTCATGATGTCGTCACATCCCAGGGTGACCTCATTCATTGTGTCATGATGTCATCACATTCCAGGTTGACCTCATCCATTGTGTCATGATGTCGTCACATTCCAGGGTGACCTCATTCATTGTTTCATGATGTCATCACATTCCAGGGTGACCTCATCTATTGTGTCATGATGTCGTAACATTCCAGGGTGACCTCATCCATTGTGTCATGATGTCGTCACATTCCAGGGTGACCTCATTCATTGTGGCATGATGTCATCACATTCCAGGGTGACCTCATTCATTGTGTCATGATGTCATCACATTCCAGGGTGACCTCATCTATTGTGTCATGATGTCGTAACATTCCAGGGTGACCTCATTCATTGTGGCATGATGTCATCACATTCCAGGGTGACCTCATTCATTGTGTCATGATGTCATCACATTCCAGGGTGACCGCATCCATTGTGTCATGATGTCGTCACATCCCAGGGTGACCTCATTCATTGTGTCATGATGTCATCACATTCCAGGGTGACCTCATTCATTGTGTCATGATGTCGTCAAATCCCAGGGTGACCTCATTCATTGTGTCATGATGTCATCACATTCCAGGGTGACCTCATTCATTGTGTCATGATGTCGTCACATTCCAGGGTGACCTCATCCATTGTGTCATGATGTCGTAACATTCCAGGGTGACCTCATTCATTGTGTATGATGTCATCACATTCAATGGTGACCTCATCCATTGTGTCATGATGTCGTAACATTCCAGGGTGACCTCATTCATTGTGTATGATGTCATCACATTCAATGGTGACCTCATCCATTGTGTCATGATGTCGTCACATCCCAGGGTGACCTCATTCATTGTGTCATGATGTCATCACATTGCAGGGTGACCTCATCCATTTTGCATGATGTCATCACATTCCAGGGTGACCTCATCCATTGTGTATGATGTCATCACATTCAATGGTGACCTCATCCATTGTGTCATGATGTCGTAACATTCCAGGGTTACCTCATGTGAATGTGTTTTCAAATTTGCAAGTTACCCTTGAAGATCCGTGTTAGAATAGGTTTTCAGAAACCCATGCTTGCCATAACAGGTGACTATGCTTGTTGTAAGAGGTGACTATGCTTGTTGGAAGAGGTGACTAATGGGATCAGGCTTGCTGACTTGGTTGATGCATGTCATCGTATCCCAATTGTGTAGATTGATGCTCATGATTGTCTGGTCCAGAATCGTTTGTTTACAGACCGCAGTCATTAAGTTGGAATATTGCTGAGTGCAGCATTAAACAACAAACAAACAAACAAATTTTTTGTGTCACTGAGTATTTAATGCCCGGAATGAAATTTCCATCAACCGAAAACTCAATATCGATATTGCCCCAAATCTGAAACACTTCTTTCTCTGCGACTATGCTTGTTGTTAAAGGCGACTAACGGGATCGGGTGGTCGGACTTGCTGACTTGGTTGATGCAAGTCATCATTCCCAATTGGGTGGATCGATGCTCTGAATCACTGGATTGTCTGGTCCAGACTCGATTATTTACAGACTGCCATCATATAGTTGGAATATTGCTGAGTGCAGCGTAAAACCAACCAACCCAATTGTACTTAGGCAGTAAACAAATCATACGCACCAGGTTCACTGAAGTTGCCTGCTACTGACACTGTGTGGTTTGTGTAGTCGTACTGCAGATACAAGTTTTATCTGGATGAGAATTGGGTGGAGACGGAGACCATCGCGGGCACCAGCAACCCGGACTTCAACCACGAGAAGCGCTTTACATTCAAACCCGTCACCCAGCAGGTACGTAGTCTGTTGTGTTTCCTTTGTTGTTGTGTTTACATATATCACAAGAGTTGAATGGGGTTTAATGTCATGTGCAAGTTTATTGCACCTACTTAGATGTGCGTGTTTGCATCGGCTTGGACTATTCTATACTAATACTGATTATATAGTGCTAGCCCATTGAGATACCATGCCGCAGTTTACATGGAAACCCTACTCGGACACAGTATACTGAATCTGAGCTGGTCCCATTCCACAAAGCGATCACCTTAGCACTACCATCACTATCCATCGGACCACTTCCCACACCACTATCCACCAGATCACTATCCACCAGACCACTATCCACCAGATCACTATCCATCGGACCACTATCCTCCAGACCAATATCCACCAGATCACTATCCATCAGACCACTATCCTCCAGACCAATATCCACCAGACCACTATCCACCAGATCACTATCCACTGGACCACTATCCCCCAGATCACTATCCAACGGACCACTACCCACCAGACCACTATCCAGACCACTATCCACCAGACCACTATCCACTGGACCACTATCCACCAGACCATTATCCACCGAAACACTATCCTCCAGACCACTATCCTACAGACCACTATCCTCCAGACCACTATCCACTGGACCACTATCCACCAGACCATGGAGGCGGTCAATATGACGAGATGCATGAGACATAATGTCTGTGTAGTTATCATTTTTATCAAGGTTAACTACAGTACCATGGCACTATTTGTTAGCATGTTACAATGGTAACTAACATTTGTCATTTATTCCTTCTAGTTGCTGGACTACCTGCTGGTGAGGTCGTTGGTGATCGAGGTCTGGGGGCAGCAGAAACCCGACAAGTCGGAAACGACAGGCGCCGGCGCCGCAGTGGCGAAGAAGTCTGAAAAGACCTCGAAGGGTGTGGCCAAACCTGCCCCACCCCCAGTCCAGAACACTACCAAGGATCTGATGTCCCGAGAGAAGACCACCCTCGGGGTGGGGGCAACGGCTGCAAACACCGTCACTGTGAGTTGATTTTCACACACACAAGAGGATTTCCTATGTTGACCAGAAGCTTTGTATTAATCACAAATGTTATTCTTTAACATATCACCTGAATAGATTTCATATCAGTGGTAACTGATGTTAATGAGATTTAAAGATTAATCAAATTATTATTTTGTCTTATCCTGACTCATACTTTCACTCATGTGTATAAATCAGGATTACTATAAGTTTTATTTTTTCCCTAAAAAAATACATATTTCCGACAGTCTGAAGTAAAAAATATTTTTTCCCAGCATTTTCTGTGACAATTTATATTTTCGATAAAAACTCAGGTCCCCTCCTCCCCAAAAAATATCAATTTGTCAGTCCCTAAGTGCTTGCTGTGTTTGTTGCAGGTCAGCAAGGAAGACAAGATCAAAGAGGTGAGTTATTCAAAGTGGTCATTGTTAGGCCCCTAATATATTCCATGATTAACAGATCTGCAGGCAAAAAGTGTTGTTTTCTAACTGCTGGACCGGTTATCTCACATGCCTTTAATACAGCAACTAACAAATAACAGATTACACAATAATGGTGCTTATAAATTCAGAAGTTTTTTCTTTGTTCAGCAAAATAATTTTGACAAGTTCAATATGGCTGCCACAGCGGCCATATTGAAAATACCATTTTTGCTTGTATCATTGCTTCATAACATGTAAATGCACTTGAAATGTCTGTTACTTAACTGTGACTTGCCACAAATAGCTGCAATATTGCTTATGCAGTGTTAAACAATAATCACTCTTATTTGTGCATATTATTAAAAATCACGGTGAGCTACAAGAGTCAATTGTCAAAGATTTTGAGTTTTCTTTTTGTGTTACATTTTAACTAGATTTAGGAATGATAGCTTGGTTTTGCCTGAATGGTCCTGAGGTTTTTTATCAGAGTTTTTTTTCAGATTTCAAAGTTGCATGTGCCAGGTGAAGGAGAGTAGAAAGAACAAAATTGGGAAAAAACTAAATAATACATATGTTGCCTTCAGTCTATGTTTGTTTGTTTGTTGTTTAAAGCAGCCCATAGAAATATTCCAGCTATATGATGGCAGTCTGTAAATAATGAAGTCTGTACCAGACAATCCAGTGATTGACATCATGAACATCGATCCACGCAATCGGAATAAGATGGCATGCATCAACAAAGTCAGCGAGTCTGACCACCCGATCCCGTTAGTCGCCTCTTATGACTAGCATAGTCGCCTTTTACAGTATGCATGGGTTACTGAAGCCCTATTGTACCCTGTACTATGTATATACTATTGTTATGGACAGGTCACTATGTATATACCTTTATTATGTAAGGGACTGGTCATTTATTAGGAGGGGATGGGGACTCTGAGGACTGTATCATTTTGTTGCCATCCCACCCCCCTTTTTAAAGTAAAAGAATTATTCCATCCTAATGTTAAATGACCAGTCTCATCCCTTAATTATATTCAAAATCTTTTTTCAACCCCCATCCCCCTAATATCCCCCCCACCCCCCCTCCCAAGTACCAAGTTACCAGTCTTGATTATCAGACAAGGAAATACACAACATTTATATGTATTCTATAGTCCATATTCTTTAGGTCCCATTGACCAATGACATGCTCTAATGATGCTAAGGAAATACATGTGCTCTGCCATGTCTTATATTGTAATGGAAACTGTTCCTCTGCCACTCTGCAGACATGTGAAGTAAGTATGCATGGGTTGGATTTAACAAGACTTTGGTTGCTTTTCATATCTAATATGTGGCCAGGTCTCTTTCTATGGTTTTATTTACAATTTTATTTCATGGGCAAAGATTAATTTTGGATATGTTTGAACTTATCTGTCATTTCACACTCAAGTATGTTTCTTTTTTAACTTAGTTTTATTTGGCTTTTGGAAATGCTACTAACAGTTAATTTTTTGTGCCTTACTAAAAATGAATGTTTCTCACATTTCCCACTGTTTTGAGTTGCGGAAGAAACCATATGTTGCTAGATTCAATAATATTAACAGTATTATCAGTGTGTGCAAGATTAAAGTGTACAAAGATTGACAGTTGTGTTCAGTACTTGCAGACTGTAAGTAGTCTGCCTCCCAAACCCTTGAGAATCTTATAAAATACGAATCCAAGTGTAGAATGTAGGAAGTGAAGGAAATTAAGCATTGTTCTGGGCTCCATTTGGAAGTTTAGTTTTTGTTTTGTAATTGTATGTATTTGTAAGTAGGAAAGCTTTATTTCTGGGACTAAAGGTTGGTCTTGACTGTAGACTATTGTCCCTGTCCTGCAGCATGAAACACACTTCACTGGCTGTTGCACTGGTGGGGGGCACGGGTGGCCCAGTCGTCTAAGGCGCCGCGATTCGCTGTGCAGAGTTGCGTCCCTTGGGCACGCCAGAAACCTATGATTGTGGGTTTGAAATCCGGTTCGCCCTGATTATGTTTCTAGGTTTGTCAGCACCATACCCGTGCTCGTGGGTTTCACCGAAGTGGTAAACGTCTGAAACCTGCATCACTTCGGGCTTTCCTCCCACATTAAGCTGACACGCTGCGATATAACTAGAATACTTTTAAAAGCGGCATTAAACCCAACTCACTCACTCACTCACTGTTGCACTGATACATAGAACACAGCAATGAGCCGTTGCATCACACACTGCTGTCTGTTTATTTTCTGATCGCCTCCATGGTCTAGTTGTAGAGCGTCCGCCCGGAGAGCGGAAGGTCCGGGGTTCAATCCCCTGCCACGTCATATCAAAACACGTTAAATCGGCATCAGTCCGAGCAAGCAGCCACATGCACACAAACACATGTGCATGCACGTCGCTGTATAAGTGCAATAATCTTGGACGCGACGTTAAACCCAATTTCACCACACCTCACCTGTTTATTTTCCTGGGTAGGGTCAGGTGGAAGAGGTGAAACCCCATCGTTCAGGGGGTGGTGGGGTAGCCTAGTGGTTAAAGTGTTCGCTTGTCATGCCGAAGACCCGGGTTCGATTCCTGACAGCCCCTTTTTTCTGGTGTCCCCCACCGTGATATTGCTGAAATATTGCTAAAAGCGGCGTGAAACAATACTCACTCACTCACCCTTAGTTTAGTGTTTCTGATTGGATTAGCATTAAGCTGTTGACTTGCCACCAATGCATGTTGACATCCACTACATGAAGAAAACAGGGTTCACACTGAGAATCAATGAAACTTATTGGGGTGCTTGAGTAAGGGTTGGTTGTAAAAGCATTGCAGTAAAACTTATTGATTGTCCTTCTTGAGAACATAAATTTGTCAAAAACCTTTAGTTCACCCTGATTATGTTTCTAGGTTTGTTAGCACCATACTTGTGCTCATGGGTGCACCAGATGTTTATGTCTAAGACCTGCATAACTTCAGGCTTTCCCCTGACATCAAGCTAACACGCTGTGAAAGAACTGAAATACTGTTCAAAACACCGTTTAACCGAAATCTCTCACTCACTGAAATGTATATAAACCTCTAGCAATAATACTTAATTTGAGGGTATCAGTGGCTTGGTGGTCTATTGTACCACAATTTGGTGTACAGAGTTACATCCCTTAGATGCCAGGATGTGCTGGTTGTGGGTTTAACTCCTGCCCCCAATTCTGTCACCGATTCTGTCAGCAGCACTATCCCCGTGCTTGATGGTTTTTATCGAAGTAGTTACCAGCCACAAATTGTGTCACCTTGCCCTTGCCCTTGAAATGTCCCTGACCTGAAGACCTGTCTGATTTGGTTGGTTGGTTTGTTGTTTAACGCCGCACTCAGCAATAATCCAGCTATATGACGGCGGTCAGTAAATAATCGAGTCTGGACCAGACAATTCAGTGATTAATATCATGAGCATCGATCCACGCATTTGGGATCGAAGACATGCATCACCCAAGTCAGCGAGTCTGACAACCCGATCCCGTTAGTCGCCTTTTACGACAAGCATAGTCACCTTTTATGGCAAGCATGGGTTGCTGAAGACCTATTCTACCCGCCGGAATCTTCACAGGTCAAGATCTGTCTGAACCCTTTAATGTCTATACATGCTCTTGAAATCTATGTTCTTGGAACTACACTTATATGGTCAGTTGATGGAAGAATACGTCAGAGGGAAGAGAATATATGGATGTCAACTTCTTTATTATGAGGAACACTCATAATGAAGTAGTTGACATCCATATATTCTCTTCCTTATGTGTATCACTTCTAAATGCCTTTCAAAGACCTGATACGTCAGAGGGCTGTAAGGTGTCGAATATCAATGCCGTGATCTCTAGACATTTTTACAGAGATGTAAAACTATAAACCTTGCCTTTACAAACATTTTGCAGATTATTTCTTTAAAGATAAAGCTGAATATAATATAATATATCATGGACTGATGATTAAACAAGATTTACTATCTTAAAGGGAGTCTCTTATGAATCTTAACATGTGGTTGTTGACCTGCCTCTCAGTGATAAGTGCAGGTATATTTCTGATGTTGTATACCCTGGTTATATACCATGCCCTGGGAGTTTGTCTACAACGTTGTGTCACTTTCAGGAGGAAGCTAAGTACAAGGCGGCACATGAGATCAACACGTACAAGAAGATCGCTGAGCGTGCAGAAAACAGACTGGTATGTATGTTGAGGGATAACATGTTTATGACTGTTTGATTGGCATTTTAGAAGTTGGTGAGTAGGAAAGAAAACCTACAACTTGATGGATAACAACTTAGACTGTTATCAAGCTGGAGTGACTATCACTCCAGTAGGGCTGGGACGAGTCCAAATTTACGACCCGGGAACTGACCCTCCATTACCCGACCCTACACGGGTACCCATTGCAAGTCTCAAGAGTAGGGGACAAAATATCTGATTGGTAATTGTTTTACTGCAGCCCTGGCTAAAACTAATTGTTACCCTACTGATTTTCTGGGTCCTCCGTCATCTGCAGAAACTTCCTGTGGTGTCCCTGATCCACAGTACACATTTCTAGTCTCCTTGTGTGGATTCTGGGGCAGAGTAGGTCCCCAGTGTCTGTGCTTGTCTCCCTGTGTGAATTCTAGAGCAGAGTAGGTCTCCAGTGTCTGCTTGTCTCCCTGTGTGGATTCTAGAGCAGAGTAGGTCCCCAGTGTCTTCTTGTCTCCCTGTGTGAGTAGGACCCCAGTGTCTTCTTGTCTCCCTGTGTGAGTAGGACCCCAGTGTCTTCTTGTCTCCCTGTGTGAGTAGGACCCCAGTGTCTGCCTGTCTCCCTGTGTGGATTCTTGGGGAGAGTAGGTCCCCAGTGTCTTCTTGTCTCCCTGTGTGGATTCTAGGGCAGAGTAGGTCCCCAGTGTCTTCTTGTCTCCCTGTGTGAATTCTAGGGCAGAGTAGGTCCCCAGTGTCTTCTTGTCTCCCTGTGTGGATTCTTGGGGAGAGTAGGTCTCCAGTGTCTACTTGTCTCCCTGTGTGCATTCTAGGGCAGAGTAGGTCTCCAGTGTCTTCTTGTCTCCCTGTGTGGATTCTAGGGCAGAGTAGGTCTCCAGTGTCTTCTTGTCTCCCTGTGTGGATTCTAGGGCAGAGTAGGTCTCCAGTGTCTTCTTGTCTCCCTGTGTGGATTCTTGGGGAGAGTAGGTCCCCAGTGTCTTCTTGTCTCCCTGTGTGCATTCTAGGGCAGAGTAGGTCTCCAGTGTCTTCTTGTCTCCCTGTGTGGATTCTAGGGCAGAGTAGGTCTCCAGTGTCTTCTTGTCTCCCTGTGTGGATTCTAGGGCAGAGTAGGTCTCCAGTGTCTTCTTGTCTCCCTGTGTGGATTCTTGGGGAGAGTAGGTCTCCAGTGTCTACTTGTTTCCCTGTGTGAGTAGGACCCCAGTGTCTGCCTGTCTCCCTGTGTGAGTAGGACCCCAGTGTCTGCTTGTCTCCCTGTGTGGATTCTTGGGGAGAGTAGGTCCCCAGTGTCTTCTTGTCTCCCTGTGTGCATTCTAGGGCAGAGTAGGTCTCCAGTGTCTGTGCCTGTCTCCCTGTGTGGATTCTGGGGCAGAGTAGGTCCCCAGTGTCTGCCCGTCTCCCTGTGTGACTCCTAGAGCAGAGTAGGTCCCCAGTATCCCTATTGTGTCTCCTTGCAGCGATTCTGGGGCAGAATGGGACAACATTTCCCCATCCTTGTTTTAAGAACCAATGACGTATGTTGTGTGACCTGGCTGACTGCGTGACGCCCGAAGAGACTGATCATTGCTCATTCAATCCACACCTAGTTTGTCTGGCCTAGACATGATTACATACAGACTGACATAACATAGCTGGAACACTGCAGACTTTGATGTAAGACAACATGCACTCACTCACTCCAGTGGAAGGTGTTAATTCTTATGTTAATTTGACATTTCAGAATCAGCTACAAAGTTTGATACAAGGAGCTAAGACTTCTGGTGATGGGACAATTCAGGTCAGTTTATTTATTTTGACAGTTATGTTTGAGATTATAAATGTCTTAAAATGGGGGTACAATCATTGACAACATTGAAGTCTCCACCTTATACTCCAGGGGATACAGTGTTAGAGTGTACCGTGATTGTCGACTATAGAGTGAGTGATTGAGTGAGTTGGGTTAAACGCCGCTTTTAACAGTATTCCAGTTATATCGCAGCGTGTCAGCTGAATGTGGGAGGAAAGCCCGAAGTGATGTGTGTCTCAGACGTTTACCACTTCGGTGAAACCCACGAGCACGGGTATGGTGCTGACAAACCTAGAAACATAATCGGGGCGAACCGGGATTCGAACCCACAGTCATAGGTTTCTGGCGTGCCCAAGGGACGCAACTCTGCACAGCGAATCGCGGCGCCTTAGACGCCTGGGCCACCCGTGCCCCCCTATAGAGAGTGAGGTGGTCAGTAGAGGTGAAACAATACATCGGTGCACTGGTGCATTGTGACTTTTCATGCCCTGATATGATACCTTTTTTCCTGTATAGATACAAGACGATACACTTGCTAAAATACATTACTTCTTGTTTAATGACCCCCGGCATTTTTGTCAGTCAAAAATCGCAAAATGTGTGGTAATAAAGTTCACGACTACAAGTAGCTGCAACGAACATGTGTCAACAGCTAGCTTTTTCGATTTGATGTATATATCATATCGCGATACGTATTGTATCGAGACCTTTGTATTATGATACGTATCGTATCGTGACCTTGCTGTATCGTTTCAGCCAAAGTGGTCAGACTTGGTTGGTTGCATGTCATGGTGCCCAGATAATGTGGGTCATTTCTCATGCTTCACAAGTCACTGGACTGTCTGGTCCAGACTCGATTATTTACTGACTGGTGGGGTTAAGCTGCAATGTTGTGAATGAGGCTCATATAACAATGCTTGCTCACTCCCTTACTGCAATTGTAGTTTGCATATACTGGGATTTAAAAAAAAGTCCTTTTCATTATTGAACAATTTTCTTTGTACAACAGAAATAACAAAAATAATACAAAATATAAATTGCAAATGGTTCCGTGGCATTTGATTAGCTAACCAAGCAATGTTTGGGGCATTTGTCTTTTTTATGTTTATACCTCCATAGACGCTAAAAATACTGAAGTCAGTTCTTTAAAGTATGCCAGCTGGGATTCAGAATTTTTGTCTTTAGTCTTTAGTCTTTAGGAATGGATATTGTGGGTGTGTAGTACTGATGAGATCATATTAGTCACATATTTTCAATCTGTAATAACATTTTCTTGTAGATCGCAGACCTGGAAGCCATAATTGCAGGTGGTGAAGGCAAGGGGATGTCGTCTCCGTCACCCAGCTCCAACAGCAGCAACGGCAGAAGCGGCAGCGTCAGTCACACCAAGGGGGCTGGAGAGAAGGGCTCTGCTACATGCAGTCTACAGTGAACACTACTCACGTCTACCAACAGTTACTTCATCTCTCCGTCCATTGTGATGGATTCTTGTTATGAATTCCTCATGCATTAACTTGTGGAATTATATAAATATATTACTTTTGTTAACAGTTATGGAAGAAATAATATGGAAAAGTTGTTGGGGGAATATTTTGGGAAGATAATTTGACGGGTTTCCGAAGTGATGTGCGTCACGTGAGAGTGGCGCCGTCAGCTGGTACTTTGAAAAACTCTGCTGAGTTTGGTACACCATCCCTGTGCCCCTGTATCAGGGATATTAGTCTGTCATACAGACCCTCAACAAATATATCTAATACAGCCCTTGCAAGTCTATAATAGTTGGCAAGTCTAGATAACCGCATGTTCTGAAAATGAAGAGAGTCTCATGGCTGCTTTTTATTATTTTTTATTGAGATAATTTAACAACTGTTTTTTTGTATAAAATGTGTTCATTTCTGAGACTAGATGTTAACTAGGGACATCAGCATCCTCTACTTTCGAGGTTTCTGATTGGCTAATGTCAAATTCTTGTCAATTCATTGGTCTGTCAGTTTGCGAAAGGTAGTTTTGACGTGACCTGTAATGGGATGTCCCCAGATCTTTGTTTTAGCGGTATCGAGATTGTGTCAAAGTCAACATAGTTTTAACTTGAGTCAGTATGGCTGTAATTATCACAGTTCATTTCATCCATTACGGGTTATCGGACATTTATAAGTTTGCAGTGTGTCCCACTGTAGCTGGTATGTGATACTGTTGCTGTGCTACTCACTGATTGCCTTGGTTGTCTCCCTTTGTTGCCATGGTGATCATCTAATGGGCAGACGTGTATAGTGCCAACTTCAACCATAATAATCAGTCTACATTCAATATTGGTAATATGGTTGAATTAGTTATGTACATGGAAGTTTTAAAGGTCAGTGAGTCATTCAAAGCAGAACTAACTAGAGAAAGTATGTACTCCGCATTTACTATATGTTTAAAATTACAAATGGGAAAAGGACTATTTTATGATTCAAAGATAAAACATTACAATCCAGTGTCCAGGTATGGAACCGACCATGGTATTGTGAAAATGGGAATTTAAGAATTTAGAAGAACACATGGTCTGGTTTGGTATCATTTAAGAAATTATGTTGGCAAAACTTTGGAGAATTTGTTTTTTACTTATTTGAAGAAAGTATTGAAAATAATTTTCTTTATTACTTGTATCTTAATAGAGTTGGAAAGGAATTTTTGTTTGTTTTTGTTTGTTGAATATTAAGAGTTTCTATCCATATTAACATGCTTCTGTGTCTCTGTAGACAGGTGTCCCTGCAAATACTTTCAAAGAACATTAGATTAGGATGAAATAGTTTCAGAAGTGTGAATTAGAGACTAACCAACTAGCTTCTTGGATTTTTTTTCGGAAAGAATAAATGCTGTAAGCATTTGAACAGTATTAACACAGGTGTGACAGTTAATTGATAGTTCCTCGCTTCAAGTCAGTGATTCTTATTATGTACAGATATTAATTCTTAGTGGTACAATGGCGGTCGGGTAGCCTAGTGGTTAAAGCGTTCGCTTGTCACGCCGAAGACCCGGGTTCGATTCCCGACATGGGTACAATGTGTGAAGCCCATTTCTGGTGTCCCCCGCCGTGATATTGCTGGAATATTGCTAAAAGCAGCGTAAAACCATACTCACTCACTCACTCTAAGTGGTACCAAATTATTCAATAAAAGCATCCATTTCTAAACATGTTTATGCATATTCTGTGTCCCAGTGGATGCACTCTTTATTTTGTTGGCGTCCATTTTCAAACTGAGGCAAAAAGGTTTCGTTTAAGGAACAATGTTGCAAGGCATGTGGAGGCGAGGCAAGAGGCAATGAAGCATACACCCTTGTAATGAAGCAATATGATTGTAGTATCAGTAGTCAATCCAGCATCAGTTGCTGTATATAGAGTAGTGCAAATTAGTTTAATTTGTTTTAGTAGGTATATTTAGGATATTACCTAATTGCTTATGAACACTGCTCCACTAGTTATGGTACTACAGAAAATGTTGTCAGTTTTAGTGGGATGATTGGGTTGGTTGGTTTGTTGTTTTACGCCGCACTCAGCAATATTCCAGCTACATGACGGCGGTCTGTAAATAATCGAGTCTGGACCAGACAATCCAGTGATTAATGTCATTAGCATCGATCCACACAATTGGGAGTGATGACATGCATTAACCAAGTCAGCGAGCCTGACCACCCGATCCCGTCAGTCGTCTTTTACGACAAGCTTAGTCACCTTTTACGGCAAGCATGGGTTGCTGAAGACCTATTCTACCCCAGAATCTTCACGGGGAGACAAGCATGGGTTGCTGAAGACCTATTCTACCCCGGAATCTTCACGGGTCTTTAGTGGGATGAAGATGTTGTTCAGTCACAGAGAAACGCTGTCAAATAGCAACCAGCTGTAAGTGAAGCCTGTTTTATTCACTTAGTTTATTGAATTTTCTAGTTGTTTAGAATAAAATAAGCTTAAAGTTTCAGAAAAATGTTTCATTAATTTTTTATTTTAAAAGTATCATAGATGAGGCGATAGTGAAAAAGGGAAATAAAAGAGTTTTTTAAAAAAAATAAAACAATCAAGGATTACTTTTATTCCCACATTGATTTATGGTTTTTTCCCTAACAGAAATTAAAATTTCCAGAATGTTTATTAACTTTATTATTTTAATCAGTAATTGTGAATTTATGGATCTGTTAAGCATGTGGTTAAAATAACACAGCTCTATCCTGTTTTGCATCCTAATGTTCTCACTTCATTGTGAATTTGATGTATATTTCCAGAACGTCATAAGAATGCTGTTATATTTTGTTTCCACATCATGTTTTAACTTTTAAATGCAGATTTTGTCTGCACTTATATGATTCTTGTCCAAAAGGAATTTCTCTGTTTATTAACAAATTCCAACTTAGTATCATCTGTGATATTTGTCAGTTTGGTTTAAATACACATGCTGTGATACACTTTATGGATATATCTCCGTCCAATCTGCTGTGCCTGTATGCCTGAAAGTATTTATACCAATAACTCTGTTTCTTGGAATATTCTGTTTGGAATGCGAGAACAAGTCATGCACAGAGCCTAATGTTCCAATGGTGCATGAAGTGTTGTACTAGTACTTGATTTGCCATATTAATCCCCAATATTACTTCACTCCTATACAGATGCATACATTAGGGTTGGGACGAGTCCAAATTTACCACCAAGGTACCTGACCCCCTATTACCCGACCCTATCCAGGTACCCCTAATAGGTCTCAAGAGTTGGGAGACCGCCTCCGTGGTCTAGTGGTAGAGCGTCCGCCCGGAGAGCAGAAGGTCCGGGGTTCGATCCCCGGCCGCGTTATACCAAAAGACATGAAAAGATGGTACTTGTTGTTACCCTGTCTGGCGCTCGGCATTAAGGGGCTAAAACAAGGACTGGTCAGCTCAGAGTCAGTATACTGTGTCTGAGTAGGGTATTCCTGTTAAACTGCAGCATGGTATCTCAGTGGGTTAGCACTATAAATCAGGATCAGTCCGGACTAGTACAAGCAGCCACACAAACACATACATGACATGCACGTCGCTATATAAGTGCAATAATCTTGGACGCGACGTTAAACCCAATTTCAACTCACCTCACCTCAAGAGTTGGGTACAAAATGACCAAATGGGAATGGCTTTATTGGAGCCCTGTCAAAAAAACTGTTTAGATACGCACATAATACGATGTGGTCATGCACACACTAATGTTGACTGAAGCTTTATCTTTACTCAGACATATACAAGTCAAAAGGAATGTGTACATAGAAATACATGCGAACATTAGTGACTTATGTAACCATGGAGATATTGTGAATTTTTGTCATTACATAATATATCACGTGATTAATCACGAGTCCGGTAGTACTTATGTGTGGATGCTGTGTATACCTATCTTAATGGCATACTGTATATAATAGCCTTTACATATATAGCAATGCATCTGTTAAGGTGATGTGATTAAATCAATGTTTAAGTTTTACTGGTTTATGGTAACTTTTGAGTAACGCAGGAGTTACTTCCCTTTATTTTTAAAAAAAAGGCTGAACCAGAGAGGAATGGTACCAACCTCTCCTGTAATTACATTCATTTGTTAATATTAGGGCAAAATAATAACATTATGTTTCTGTTTTTTTGGTTTGTCCAAAAAAAGACACGACGATGCATCTTGTCCCTGACCAACATTGAAATGTCCTTTTCGCAACGATTCATAAATGTTGAGAAGAGTGGTGTTTTAACTGCACTTTACAAGCCCCAAAGTCCTTATTAGCCCCAACCCACCCCAAACACACACTACAGGAATACACTAAAAAAATAATAAAAAATAAATAATGACCCATGTATACGAGGCCATGAGTTAATATTTTAATAAATATTTTTAAAGCTACGTATTCCTATGCACACTCACAACCTGCACAGACACAAGAGGCATCGTTTGTGTGCTCTTTTGGGGAAAGCAGGTTAGAGTTACCTGCCCTTGGTTAAAAATCTGGAAAAAGGCCTGATGATTTGGGGTTGAAAATGGCACAAAATACTTGACCAGAAACATAATACTTGTTTTGTTTCGTCGTTATAATGATTGTGTGGCAGCAGCTAATACATGTAACATAATTTTACCAAATGTTTCTTATCCTTCATTCAATGAGTGGATGTCACCTGTTGCCTGTGTTTGTGTCCTGTCTCTGTACCCTTGGTGAGATATTGACATGAAATGGACAAACGAATCAACAGTTAGATGGGAGTCTACTTGTATTCAGATCATTAATTCATACCAATGAGCAATAATCAAATGCCAAAATATCCTGCTATGTTCTCAATATTTTATTAAATTGTTATAGGTCAATTTCAACAAAACTGATCAGATCAAGGTCAAGGTCAAGATGAATGTGTTGCAATGTTTGTTTGTGTTTGTTGATGTGCCTGTATGTGTTAATTGTTGGTTCATCGAACTGACGGGATAATATTTCAGATGAACAATCTGTTGCTGTATCTTTTATATTTTGTGATATACATTTCTTTTATGTTTCACAATGTTTATAGTTGAATTTTTATAAATTTAATAAACTCTAATATGTTAATGAGTGATTTGAACCAAATATGATGCAAAATCACTGAAATGTTATCTAGTTTTTATGTGAATAAAATTATCTATTGTTTTCTAAAGGGGACATTTGTTTCAGTTGTTCAGACATGGAATATATTTATAAGTTACTGGCTATAGACTTTCAGTGTAATCCCGTAACAGTGTATGAGTGAGTGTGCTTCGACTAGCATTTCAGTTATATCACACTGTGATATGAGAGGGCACGGGTCTAAGGTGCGTCATTTCACTGTGCAGTGTTGCATCCCTTGGACTCGATTGTGGGTTCGAATCCCAGTTAACCCAATTATGTTTCAGGGTTCACTCTTTGTATTTTCTGACACAGTATTCCAGAGGTAAACCCACTCTTGCCCATACAGCACAATGTTAAAATACCCTATTGAATTTTCAATTTTCAATTTTTCAAATTTAGGGGCTAAAAGCACAAGGCCCACACTAGAATAACCCCTGATGTTTCTAGGTTTGTTGGCACCGTGCCATACCATGGGTTTTGCCTAAGTGATAAAAATGTGAGACCTCGGACTTTCCTCCTACAAAGGTGACACAGTGATATAACTGGAATACTGTTTAAAGAGGCGTTAAACCAAACTCACTCACTCACTCTGTGAAATGAACTCACATAAACATGCCACACATGCTCCAATGGATGACAGCAGGTGGGAAAGTTATTGATGTCCAGCAACAAAGTCTTGTGATTATCTGAATTTGAACATAACAGAATATCAACAACCACTTCGAAAATGGATTCCATTGTATGTTCTCATTTCGAGGATGTAAGCGAATGTTGTTTTTAGACTGACCACAATTTCGTGAAGACAAACTTGTGATTAATAGAATGAGCACGTTCGCTTTGTGAAACGCTGTCTCTGACCCACTGGGGAGGACAGCAAGCTCCTCACAGCGATAGCCCGTTCACTGAGCTCTCTATACTATCGCTGCCACCAGTCAAAGCTCCTCGCACCGTCTCAGGCAAGGGAGTTAACGATCGCAGTGCCAGACCGCCATATGTGGCTATTACGAGTTATTTCCCTTCTATGTCCCGCCAAGTGACTCGCAATCGACAGATCGTTATATTTGCAAACAAATATACTTACCCCGTCGACGGACAACATTTTTCAGCTGGTTAGGAGACATTCAAAGAGCTTTAGAAGCTCGTTTCAAGTAGTTATGAATTTCATAAATGCTTTAATTCCTCTTTCTGCTTCGCATTGAAAGAAATCATATACCTTAAAAATGAACTGCTCACATCAGCTGAGTAGCGCATATCTTGTCAAGCAACAGCGACGTATGCTATGTAACACAGGCAGTTCGGGTTTGCGCTGTTCCTCTACGAAATTGTAGATCTACACATGATAGTTTCTTTTCAAACTTTTTTCCCCAGCCAAAGTGGAAATGGTCAGGCTCGCTGACGTGGTTGATGCATGTCATCGTATCCCAATTGCGTGGGTCGATGCTTATAATGACAATCACTCAATCTGGTCTATACTCGATTATTTACATACCGCCGTCAGATAGCTGGAATATTGCTGAGTGCGGCGTTAAACAAGAAACAAACAAATCAAAGTTATGGGAATAAAAATAACAAACAGCAGATATTGTTGGGTACAGGGTATTCATTGCCGTGTATCATATTGACATTTGATAGACTATACCCGATTATGAATTATTATGCAATTCATCGTACTAACTTGGAGCAAAACGGACTGATAACGGTGTAAGATTTCACTTCTAAAACAGGAATTCCCATTTTTGAAAGTGTTGATTCTTGGAAATTTGTTTGGCCATAAGTATTTTATATAAATATGAAGTATGATAACCTTTCCTGGTTTTTAACAAATGGTATAAAATAATGGTAAATATGGGTAACAAAGTTTCTTCAGCTTCTGAAAAAAAGAATTGCCTAATAAACTGGATCTGACTGTAAGATAATTAAGTTGCTTGTATTTCTCCGTTGTACAAATGAGAGAAAGTTTCCCTTTTCATCAATAAAATCATTAATAGATCTAATGCCTTTTGTAGACCATGATAGGTAGACAACCGTTTCCTTCCCCATGTGTAGGGGCGGTCGGGTAGCCTAGTGGTTAAAGCGTTCGCTCGGGTTCGATTCCCGACATGGGTACAATGTGTGAAGCCCATTTCTGGTGTCCCCCCCCGCCGTGATATTGCTGGAATATTGCTAAAAGCGGCGTAAAACCATACTCACTCCCTCCCCACGTGTATATTATCAGTTCAACAGACATTTGGTGAAAGAATGCCAACAGCTGGAATATTATTATTTTCTAGACCGTCCACGAAAACCCACCAAGACATCAGTGAATTTTCATAGAACATGTTTACTGTAGATAATATATATGGCTTATGCGTCCTGCTTTTGATCTCGTTCTCATGTTGACCGTTTATTATGTGGGTATTTAAAAAGAATACAAAACACAATTTAGAATGGGTTGTAAAGGGTCATCGGAATCTTTTGAGGTTGTATGACTTGTCTTATTCTAGGGCATTCAATTCCACCATCTTTCTTTTGTCCGATTTATTTCCCCACAAGAATTTGAACATTTTGTTTGAAATTTATCAATTGTTGTTTGGGGTAGATTTGGAATAGATGAGAATAGGTGGTTAAGTTTGGGCAGAACTAGCGATTTAAGAATAGCATTTCCTTCCAAAAAGTGTTAGGTGTCTTATTGACCATATTGACATCAGCGTTTCACATTGCTTGAACATGTTTTCGTAATTATAGCCACCATATAACATAACGTAAAGTTGGTTGTATAAGGATGGGCACACATTTCAGCTCCATCCATGTATCTTGTGTGAGCCTGGTGAAGCATGTTAAGCATGTCATCAGAGGCAAAAGCTAGAATCCTATCATTGTCACCATCGTTTTTAGGGTTAAGTAATGAAAACGGCGAAAGCAGGTTTTACGGTGACCTCCCCAATGTCTGAAGATGTCTTCCAAATAAGAGTATAGGTGTGCATTTTTATGAAAATTCGGAACAAATAAAGGCATAAATGATTAACATTATTGATAAGTTATCCCATCAAAGAATTATCCAAAACATTAGGCGCGTTGTGAAAACTACACATTCCCAAAACAATGTCATGACGTCATGGACCCGAATCGTCGACAGTGACTCCTCTCATTGATAGTTCTATGACGTCATAGCTTTATCGCGCTACGATTGGCCCTTCGACGTCATTGTCCCCGTATCTAGGTCTTCATTCGTTCTCCAGAGACAAACCGCACCAGTCGTACTTGATCAAAAATCCGTATTGTACGCCAGTGATTAACATGAGCGAGATGGACATGGAAGATGAGACAACAAACGGCACAGTGATGCAGAAGAAGTTCAGTATGCAAGCCTGCAATGTGTTATCGGAGCTGAGGAAGAAGGGGGAGCTGTGTGATGCTGTGATCAGAGTGGAGAACACGACGTACAACATCCACAGGGCCATCATGTCCGCCTGCAGCCCCTACTTCCGGGCCCTCTTCACCAACCAGATGTTTGACACAAACAAGAGGGAAGTCACAATCCCCGGAGTGTCCTCTGACATTATGCACATCATCATCGAGTACGCCTACACGAGGGACATCAAGATTGACAGAGACAACGTTGAACAACTTCTCCCGGCGGCTGACCAGTTCCACGTCACCGGCCTCATCAGACTCTGCTGCGACTTCCTTCTGAGGGAGATGTGTGCAGAAAATGTTATTGGAATCCGAGCATTTGCCCGGGCGTATTTCTGTCACAGCTTAGAACGGCATGCATTACGCTACCTCCTGCAACACATCGGCGTGGTCTACGCCAACAGCAACGAGTTCCTTCAGCTGGACGTCGAGGAGGTCTGCGAGATTTTGGGATCCGATGACCTCAATGTAAAAAATGAGGAGATCGTTTTTGATGCTGTCCTTCGCTGGATAGATTTTGATCCCGAAAAACGCAAATGTCAGATTGCACGGCTACTGAAAACAATCCGTCTTGGACTCCTCACAACACAGTACTTCGTGGAGAAGGTAGGTAGCACATCGTTAACGTGAACATGGGAAGTTGCTATGGGTGTGTTTCCACCTCATCGACAGATAGAGAAAGCAGGACTTGGATCGGTTGAGTTATTATGGTATAGTGACCAGGAAAATAAGGGTGTTCCACGCCTATCCCGATATACCGCCTACCGAAACAGTTGTATTCCGGTTTGCGCTGTGTTCAGTTAGTCATACTTAGTACAATGTTATTTAGTATTTAGACAAAAATATTTTCCTTATGTAAATCGTCATCTAGGTAACAATTCTAGCAGAAACACACTCAAAAAGAGTATGATTAGTACAGCCTTCATATGATGACTTGGTAATCTCGGGACTATTCCATGCTCGTCAGACCCTCTGTCATCAACATCGGGTGACACATATAGAGATATATCCTGTAGGTGATGTCCAAAGAATTAACGACGTGTCATGTCTGTCGCAAACTAAATGTACTCCTAAAAAAGTTGAGAACCACACGATTCTTTCTTATTACTACTACATAGGGCTAGGACGAGTCCAAATTTACTACCCGGGTACCCTTATTAGCGACTTGTAGTGTAACCACTGAGCAATAATGAGTTTTTGTCATTAAACAATATATCACGTGACTAACCTCGGGTCCGGGTAGTCCTGTGAGTACCCGAGTCTTACTCAGGACCCACCCGACCCGAGTACCCGAGTTACCCGTCCCAACCCTACTACTAAAATACATGCCGTGTCAGATTAACTATAGTAATATGCAAGAATTGGGCGGTCGTTAACTGTTTGGAGTAGTAAGATTACAAGACGAGGACAATATTTGTCGCTCGGTGAAAGAAATCTGCTCAAAGTATACTTCAGTATTAAAGGTATACGTTTTAAGCGAGTGGAGTCTTATGTGTGATATTTTTCCTTTATGTCATCAATTAGATTGGGCGATTGCTGGGAAGAATAAATGATTTTCTCGGGGGTTATAACATAATAATTATCCTGTTTCGTTAGGTATAGGGTTAGACCATCTGTAGCGTTTGTAGTACTGTGGTCTTTAGTGTTGAGTTCAACAGAGTGACGAACAAATGGTTTCCTCGGGGGTTATAACATAATATCCTGTTTCGTTGGGTATAGGGTTAAACCATCTGTAGCCTTTGTAGTACTGTGGTGTTGAGTTCAATAGAGCGTATGTCGTTTCGGTGATGATGCTACCGAACATCGTTCTGAACCTGGTGATACACTTTCTAAAGAAGACAATATAACACGAACTAAACCATTATGGTAACGGTTCTTATTAAGTCATCCTTAACAGTTTGCCTTTAAGTTTGTACCTTGTACACCTTAAGGACCGATAACAATTGAGTTCGCCGGGATGTACCTAAGGGTATTCTGTTTATCTTTGCCCCGCCCATCTTCAGGTGAAGTCCCACCCCTATGTCAAGGAAATAGATGCATGTAAACCAATCATCATTGAGACCCTGAAGTTCCTGTATGACCTGGACATGGATGAAGACAAGGAGGTCGACCTCAACAACCCTCTCGCCAAACCTCGCGTGCCTCACGAGATCTTGTTTGTAATTGGTGGGTGGAGTGGGGGGTCTCCCACTAACATGGTGGAAACGTATGACACGCGGGCAGACAGGTGGATTGTCTCAAACAACGTTGACACCGGTAAGATACATATCTCATTTGTTTCGACCTTGAATTCGAAAGAGTTCAGTACGGTTTAGAAGTCTTTTTCGCCACACAATGCGAGCTTTATTAGATTTAAAAGGAACAAATTTGCGTGCCTACATAACACTATGTATGTTGAGGATACATTTGTAGATACTTTGAACACACACACACACACACACACACACACACACACACACACACACACACACACACACACACACACACACACACACACACACACACACTCAACAACAGACACAGACAGACACACACAGAGACGCACGCACGCACGCACGCACGCACACACACACACACACACTGACGAGGACTACTTTTGTGTACATACATGTGGATTCTGGTTAGCAGATATTGCATGTTTGAACCGATGTTTAAATAATACTGTTCCTGTGCATCGGACATTCTGTCCAGTTCAGGGAAATCCCTGTGTCGAATTGACCGAGCATCGTATGAGAGGTAGTTTATACTTGAATACATACATGTTCCGATACGACCAGGTCCTCGCGCCTACCACGGCACCGTAGCCCTCGACCAACACATCTACGTCATAGGCGGCTTTGACGGCATGGAATACTTCAACAGCGTCAGGGTTTTCAACCCCATCAACAGTCAGTGGACGGAGGCAGCACCCATGAATGCAAAGAGGTTAGATACTGTTATACTTGGATGCTAAAATTATGTTGTCCCTACGTGGGATTCCGAGTTTGGTCCCCAGAAACCTACATGTACGCATGGCGACTAAATGGATTTGATTGTAAGCTGTGTGACTTAAATGATTGCGTGTAATCGTTCCACGACGGCGTGGACGTTGCTCATAATATCAATCACTGGTTTACGAGCCCGTTTATTTACAGGTGTAATATTAGCTTGATAATTGCTGACTACTATGTTAAACCACAAGCAAATCATCCTTTGTCTATTGTTGAAGTTATATATGTGTCATCATGCGAAGAGTTTTGTTCACGTTTGTATCACCAAAACAGCATCATTTATGACTGAGAACAGTCCGTGCTAGTTTCTTCACACTTGTCTTGATAGAAACATATCAAGGTGGACATAGATATTCTGTCTTGTTAAGATAATTTTCATAAAAATTGTCGATTTAAATATCAGATAATGTAAAATAATGACTGATTTGGGATCGAACTTATCCGAACTTTGTTATCGGCCGAAAGATCTCTAATAAAAGAGACCGATAGAGTAGTGTCCCTTTGAGAGAGAAAACAAAATGGTTGTTTGCGTTACTTTGGAAACGTTTGCAGATAATTAATATCCTTCGTATGTATATTAGCTGTTGCCAGCCTAAATGTGTATATAAACCGATATAGAGTATTTTTAAAGCTTAGCGATAAGGTTGCGATAGGAGATATATTACATCGCTTGCCACAATCACTGCTCGATATGCTGTTAAAACAACAGTTTAGGATTTCTTTGCCTGAGTCTAACAATTTCTGAGTGCCAATGTTAAAGACCGATTTATGTGATCAGTTGTAACATCTATACATGAACGGTTAAGAAAATGTCTGTGAGTTTCTACACATCGTCACCTACCGTTCTTATATAGCATGTTTGAAATCCATGTGCATGAGCTGCATTTGATTAATATGGATCTATGCATAATCTTAAGTAAGATCACATTGCTTAACAAATTCTGGATAAACAAGTTAGAGCAGTTGCACTCAACCACTGAAAACAATAATCTAATTGCGGAAATAATCTGAAGACAAAAAAGACACATGCTTCGACAGTTTTTTTAAATGATCATCATGCATATGTCTTTATGGTGTGGACCCGTGAAGATCCGGGGTAGAATAGGTCTTCAGCAACCTATGCTTGCCGTAAAAGGTGACTATGCTTGTCGTAAAAGGCGACTAACCGGGGATCGGGTGGTCAGGCTCGCTGACTTGGTTTATGCATGTCATCGATCCCAATTGCGTGGATCGATGCTCATGATATTAATCACTGGATTGTCTGGTCCAGCCCGCTGTCATATAGGCCTAGCTGAAATATTGCTGAGTGCGGCGTTAAACAACAAACCAACCAACCAACTTTATGGTGTCAATTTTCATTGCATATAGCAGATCAGGGGATGATAAACGGGTTGTTCCTAAATGTGTACTATAAACATGTACTATCAATCATCGTTTACTTATATTTCCTTACACCCTTACGCACCTCCAAAACAAGGAATGTCACTTCACAGGAAGTTTTAAAAATAAAAAATTGTTTCATTCTAAGGATTCATTTGAAGCGTTTGTTTTCCATGCAACCGGGGGCGGTCGGGTAGCCTAGTGGTTAAAGCGTTCGCTCGTCACGCCGAAGACCCGGGTTCGATTCCCGACATGGGTACAATGTGTGAAGCCCATTTCTGGTGTCCCCCGCCGTGATATTGCTGAAATATTGCTAAAAGCGGCGTAAAACCATACTCACTCACTCACTCACTCCATGCAACCGGCCTAGCTTGGTTTTATTGTAATGCTATATGACCCTAAATAAAGCAAGGTAGATTTCCTCCAGGTTCAGACACTCCCATATCACTGGGGCTCCTTTTGAATTTAAACGGAGTTACATATTTCTATCAAAATTTAGCTACTCTTGAATCATTTCACTGTACACTAGATGGTCGATATAGGTAGATATTAGACTGGGATTTCCACATAGAATGCACGACTATGCTTGAGATCTGGACATCCGCGTACCAGATACCAGTAAACATTTCACGGCATCCAGCATACAGAACTGCAGCTTCCAGATTGCCACTAACAGGGCCCGGCATCCGGCATTTCAAAAGGGGGTTGGCATTCTCTTGAATGGATCTGGTATTTAGTAATTTTTAATTTCACGGCGTGTCAGTTTAATGTGGGAGGAAAGCCGGCCTAATATATAGTGACGCACAGGTCATAGAACTTTGCCGGGTCGGTAAAACAAAATACCATGAGCATAACAGACAGTGATAATTCAGTCCAATATTTTGATCCGGGATTTTGAATCAACGTCTAGTGGATCCTACAGTTGTTAAGGTACGGACCTGTGCATAGCGAGGTGCTTCAGCTTATATCCCGTACATGGCCCTGCTCGTCCTCCGCCAAACACTAAACATATCGAATATTTTGATCCGAGAACGCAGCGGATCCCTTTATCCTACAAAAGGACGGAACTCATAGGGAAAATCTTGGTTCTGCTCGACTGCCACCAAATACTCAAAGCACACACGAAAAACCCCGACTATGTCAGCAACATCGCTGGATTGACGCAATAGTTATGTTGTTGTTGTTGGTTTGTTGTTTAACGCCGCACTCAGCAATATTCCAGCTATATGACGGCGGTCTGTAAATAATCGAGTCTGGACCAGACAATCCAGTGATTAATATCATGAGCATCGATCCACGCAATTGGGATCGATGACATGCTTCAACCAAGTCAGCGAGCCTGACCACCCGATCCCTTTAGTCGCCTTTTGCGACAAGCATAATCACGTTTTACGGCAAGCATGGGTTGCTGAAGACCTATTCTAACCCGGACCTTCACGGGTACGCAATAGTTATGAATCAGATTGCAATAACATGGACACTTGTTGAACTAGACGCGGAAGTCGTTGTGTTATCGGCTATACATACATGAATATGTTCTTTGTTGGATCAATGGAATGAGTCCCGCGTTTTGTAATCTTCAACATGTTTTCTCAGATGCTATGTCAGCGTGGCTGTTCTTGACAAGTTTATCTACGCCATGGGGGGATTTGATGGTCACGTGCGACAGAACACAGCCGAGAGGTACTTGAAGAAAAACAACCAGTGGAGTCTGGTGCAGCCCATGAACCACCAGAGGAGCGACGCCAGCGCCACCACTTTGGAAGGTGAGTGAGTGAGCGAGCGAATGGATGAGTGAGTGAGTGAGCGAATGGGTGGGTGAGTGAGTGAGTGAGCCGCACTGAACAGTATTTTAGTTATGGCGGATCAGCCATTTGTGTGAGGAAAGTTTAAAGAGATGAGGTCTAAAATATTTTGCCATTTTGGGAAAAGCCACGGATACGGATTTGGTGCTGTCAGACCGAGCATTGTAATGAAAGTGAACCTAGGTTTCGAACCCCCCAGAGGGGCCTAGCGTGCGGACGCACCTCGGATAGCGATTTGCGGCCCCCTGTCGTCTGGGCCACCGGTACCTGCGGACAGCCCAGTGTTCCGGATGGTAGGCTCCGATTAAGTGGCAGTCTAATAATATTGCGTCTCATGAAGAAGATATTATGAGATATTACATGGACAGTGTCAGTATGTTTGATTTACATGTAAACGATAAAGGTCGTGTAAACTAAATGTGTTGGTTTAGCTACCTGCAATCAAAGAATCTAAACACCTAGTGAATGGGCAAGAACTAGCTCTGTGACGTCATGCATTACAAGCCATACAGAAGTTATTATCCATAGCAACTTCAGGTTTTGCCAACTTCTTAATGCCAATCAAAGACTTAACCGTTTCCAATGAATGGAAATATCACGCACTATTTTCATCTGTGCAGGTAAAATTTACATCTGCGGAGGGTTTAACGGACAGGAGTGCCTGAACACGGCGGAGTGTTTCGACCCCATCACGAATCAGTGGACTCTCATCACCCCCATGCGCAACAGACGGAGCGGCGTCGGGGTGATCGCCTACAGGGGCTGCGTGTACGCCCTTGGGGGTTTCAACGGCATCACGCGGATGAATACAGGCGAGAGGTTCAACCCGCAGACCAACACCTGGCAGACGATCCCTGAGATGTACAACCCTAGGAGCAACTTTGCTATCGAGGTAGGGAACCAACAATCAAAGGACTTATGTTTCGGTGTTTTAAGATTCGTAATTTCATTTTTCCGTTGATTAGGAGATAAACATACTGTGTTTTCAACGTAGTGTAGGTTACCTGCAGATTTAACCGTGCTAAATATAATTTGGAACCGAACGCACAGCGTGAGGTTTCAAATGTTGAATATAGCGCGGTTTGAAGATTTCTATCCTGTTTTCTGCACGAAATGTATTGCCACACATTATTTGAATATTGTAGTAATCACAACTTTGCATTTTGTAACCTATAATTGTAGGTATAATTACTTAAATACACCTGCCGACAATGACTGAAACAAGTACTATTTTGTGAATATTAGCTTCCGCGGTGATGCGGCCGTCAAACCAGCTGTTTCAATCAGAGGGGGTTTATTGTGATTTAATAGCCTCTGATTGACCAATAAGAAACTAATAATTTCCAAATTCATAATAGAATAATGATTGGTTTGGGTCTTACGCCACCTCAAGCAATAACGTAGCCATCTCACAACGGGGGCATCATAAATAGCCACCACACATAGTACAAACAGGAGAATAGAACCCGGTTTTCGGCGTGATGAGTCAAGGGTGTAACCACTGGGCTACCTCACCGCCCTCCCTGTTTTAATCTATAACGAACATTATGTTGTCGAACAGACAACATTCTATCCGAACAAGCATGTTAAACCATATTAGTACAATTATACTCGACATGACCCGTGAAGATCCGGGGTAGAATTGGTCTTCAGCAACCGAAGATTGCCGTAACAGGCGACTATGCTTGTCGAAAGAGGCGACTAACGGGATCGGGTGGTCAGGCTCGCTGACTTTGTTGATGCATATCATCGTATTTCAATTACGTAGATCGATGCTGATGATGTCAATCACAGGACTGTCTGGTCTATACTCGATTATTTACCGACCGCTGTCATAGCTGGAATACTGCTGAGTGCGGCGTTAAACAACAAACACACAAACACACACACACAAGCAAATAAACAAGCAAACAAACAAACAAACAAACAAAACATGGACTGGTCCTGAGGGTACTTTTAAGTCGTTCCCGTTTTCCAGTTTGATGTAACCCTTCACGTTTTGTTTTCTTGTCAAACAAGGGCGGTCGGGGAGCCCAGTGGTTAAAGTGTTCGCTCTTCACGCCGATGGCCCGGGTTCGATTTCCCACATGAGTACAATGTGTGAAGTCCATTTCTGTTGTTCCGCGCAGTGATATTGCTGGACAGTTACTGAAAGCGCCGTAAAACCCAACGCAATACGAGATCTGAATATAAAGAAGCGACAGTAAAATGTGAAAAGAAACGAAACACTGCATATTGGAAGTTGTGTCATATCGTTAGGGTTATTTTTACTTAAATAATGTTTTTGTCAAGTTTGAAACATTCTTGGCGCAGGTATGCGCTTAAATTATGTGATATGCAATATCTCAGTCCAATACAACTCTAGGCACAAGTCCCCTGTGAAGATCAGGGCTGGAAGTGGTCTTCGGCAACCCATACTTGTCGTAAGAGGCGCCGAACGGGATCGGGTGGTCAGGCTCGCTGACAAGGTTGATGCATGTCTATGTATCAGGCTATCGTCATATAGTTGGAATGTTGCTGATTGCAGCGTTAAACCAAAAGAAATCAACAAACAACTAGATACAAGCAACGGATCGAGTCAGGGACCAGCCACACTTTTACACGCGTAACTTAGGGCATTCACGACAATGAAGAGTATTGTCGTTATTGACGAAACAGATTAATATATTTTGATCATTGTGCTACCAGTGTATGAAAACATTTCATGAATAACATCCAGTCTGACACTAGCCCTCGAGTCCCGAAGCACTTTGACATTTCATCTTTATGCCTGCTGAGACTGTATACGGATTCTGTCGCTCTGTACAGTATGGTAGCTCTCTACAGTATGGAAACTCTGTACAGTATGGTAGCTCTGTCCAGTATGGTAGCTATGTAGCTCTGTACAGTATGGTAGCTCTTTACAGTATGGTAACTCTGTACAGTATGGTAGCTCTCTACAGTATGGAAACTCTGTACAGTATGGTAGCTCTGTGCGGTATGGTAGCTCTGTACAGTATGGTAACACTGTACAGTATGGTAGCTCTGTACAGTATGGTAGCTCTGTGCGGTATGGAAACTCTGTGCGGTATGGTAGCTCTGTACAGTATGGTAGCTATGTAGCTCTGTACAGTATGGTAGCTCTGTACAGTATGGTAGCTCTGTACAGTATGGAAACTCTGTACAGTATGGTAGCTCTGTGCGGTATGGTAACTCTGTGCGGTATGGTAGCTCTGTACAGTATGGTAACTCTGTACAGTATGGTAGCTCTGTACAGTATGGTATATCTGTACAGTATGGTAGCTCTGTACAGTATGGTAACTGTACAGTATGGTATCTCTGTACAGTATGGTATATCTGTACAGTATGGCAGCTCTGTACAGTATGGTAGCTCTGTACAGTATGGTAACTGTACAGTATGTTATCTCTGTACAGTATGGTATCTGTACAGTATCGTAGCTCTGTACAGTATGGCAGCTCTGTACAGTATCGTAGCTCTGTACAGTATAGCAGCTCTGTACAGTATGGTGGCTCTGTATGGTATGGCAGCTCTGTACAGTATGGTAGCTCTGTACACTTTTGTAGCTCTGTAGCTCTGGGAGGATTGGTAGCTCTGTAGCTCTGGACAGTATGGCAGCTTTGTACAGTATAGTGGCTCTGTACAGTATGGCAGCTCTGTACAGTATGGTAGCTCTGTTGCTCTGTTCAGTATGGCAGCTCTGTACAGTATGGTAGCACTGTACAGTATGGCAGCTCTGTACAGTATGGCAGCTCTGTACAGTATGGTAGCTCTGTACAGTATGGTGGCTCTGTACAGTATGGCAGCTCTGTACAGTATGGTAGTTCTGTACAGTATGGCAGCTCTGTACAGTATGGCAGCTCTGCACAGTATGGTAGCTCTGTACAGTATGGCAGCTCTGTACAGTATGGTGGCTCTGTACAGAATGGCAGCTCTGTACAGTATGGTAGCTCTGTACAGTATGGCAGCTCTGTACAGTATGGTAGCTCTGTACAGTATGGCAGCTCTGTACAGTATAGCAGCTCTGTACAGTATGGTGGCTCTGTATGGTATGGCAGCTCTGTACAGTATGGTGGCTCTGTACAGTATAGCAGCTCTGTACAGTATGGTGGCTCTGTACAGTATAGCAGCTCTGTACAGTATGGTGGCTCTGTACAGTATAGCAGCTATGTACAGTATGGTGGCTCTGTACAGTATAGCAGCTATGTACAGTATGGTGGCTCTGTATGGTATAGCAGCTCTGTACAGTATGGTGGCTCTGTACAGTAAAGCAGCTATGTACAGTATGGTGGCTCTGTACAGTATAGCAGCTATGTACAGTATGGTGGCTCTGTATGGTATAGCAGCTCTGTACAGTATGGTGGCTCTGTACAGTATAGCAGCTATGTACAGTATGGTGGCTCTATACAGTAAAGCAGCTATGTACAGTATGGTGGCTCTGTACAGTATAGCAGCTATGTACAGTATGGTGGCTCTGTATGGTATAGCAGCTCTGTACAGTATGGTGGCTCTGTACAGTATAGCAGCTCTGTACAGTATGGTGGCTCTGTACAGTATAGCAGCTATGTACAGTATGGTGGCTCTGTACAGTAAAGCAGCTATGTACAGTATGGTGGCTCTGTACAGTATAGCAGCTATGTACAGTATGGTGGCTCTGTATGGTATAGCAGCTCTGTACAGTATGGTGGCTCTGTACAGTATAGCAGCTCTGTACAGTATGGTGGCTCTGTACAGTATAGCAGCTATGTACAGTATGGTGGCTCTGTATGGTAAAGCAGCTCTGTACAGTATGGTGGCTCTGTACAGTATAGCAGCTCTGTACAGTATGGTGGCTCTGTACAGTATGGCAGCTATGTACAGTATGGTGGCTCTGTATGGTATGGCAGCTCTGTACAGTATGGTGGCTCTGTACAGTATGGTGGCTCTGTACAGTATGGCAGCTCTGTACAGTATGGCAGCTATGTACAGTATGGCAGCTCTGTACAGTATGGTGGCTCTGTACAGTATGGTGGCTCTGTACAGTATGGCAGCTCTGTACAGTATGGTGGCTCTGTACAGTATGGCAGCTCTGTACAGTATGGCAGCTCTGTACAGTATGGTGGCTCTGTACAGTATGGTGGCTCTGTACAGTATGGCAGCTCTGTACAGTATGGCAGCTATGTACAGTATGGCAGCTCTGTACAGTATGTTGGCTCTGTACAGTATGGCAGCTCTGTACAGTATGGTGGCTCTGTACAGTATGGCAGCTCTGTACGGTATGGTGGCTCTGTACAGTATGGCAGCTCTGTACAGTATGGTGGCTCTGTACAGTATGGCAGCTCTGGACAGTATGGCAGCTCTGTACAGTATGGTGGCTCTGTACAGTATGGTGGCTCTGTACAGTATGGTAGCTCTGTACGGTATGGTGGCTCTGTACAGTATGGCAGCTCTGTACAGTATGGTGGCTCTGTACAGTATGGCAGCTCTGGACAGTATGGCAGCTCTGTACAGTATGGTGGCTCTGTACAGTATGGCAGCTCTGTACGGTATGGTGGCTCTGTACAGTATGGCAGCTCTGTACAGTATGGTGGCTCTGTACAGTATGGCAGCTCTGGACAGTATGGCAGCTCTGTACAGTATGGTAGTTCTGTACAGTATGGTAGCTCTGTACAGTATGGTAGTTCTGTACAGTATGGTAGCTCTGTACAGTATGGTAGCTCTGTACAGTATGGTAGCTCTGTACAGTATGGTGGCTCTGTACAGTATTGCAGCTCTGTACAGTATGGTAGCTCTGTACAGTATGGTGGCTCTGTACAGTAATGTAGCTCTGTGCGGTATGGCAGCTCTGAACAGTATGGCAGCTCTGTACAGTATGGCAGCTCTGTACAGTATGGTAGCTCTGTACAGAATGGTAA